AATGCGCCTTGTCGAAAGATATAACTTGCCGAAGCAAGAATTGGGGCAATTGAGGCAAGCAGGCCGTCAACCAACAGGCCCTGGTGTCACTGGATAGTACGATTGATTCTCAAGATTTGATCAGCGCCACAGCCAATATTCTGAGTAGGCTGTTGCATGGCCTACTGTCATGAGGCATCCACAGCATTTACCCAGAGAAAACAAAGGTAGGGGAGTTCAAGATCATGGTTTTCGGTGTCTGTCAATGGCATTGCAAGACCGCAATATGGAGGTTGTGCCGTGGGATCTTGCGCACAAAGTCGATGTTCATCACGTGTATGCGGCGCTGAGCCAGATTAGACTAAGGTATCGTCTCGATGGTGATGCTCTAATGTTTCGATTTTGGAGGGCAAGAGCTTGTCGATGCCCCTAGTGTTTGCTTCTTTGACTGCATTAACTTTCGAAGCTCTGTGTTCTCTCAAGGGAGGAACGTTTCGTTGTCAACCCCCTGAAAGACCGTATTCGATATCACCTGTCCCCTCAGACACTGACATCAATGCCCTCTCTCATCGCTAATATGTCGCCCCAAGCCTCGCGTCTCGTTCGTCTCAGGGCAGTCGCAGAATTCCCAAATGCCTCTCGCCATATGTATCTTACAGCGGATATCCCATGGCACCTGACTATCTCACTTGCGCCGTTTTGTGGCCTTCTAGGACGCTGCTTTGGCGGACTTCGCGGGTCGTACAGCCTTCTCGGGCTTTTCCTCTTCATTGTTGACTTCTACATAGTGGTAGAAGATAATGAGAACCATGGCGGCGGAGCCAAGGAAGATCGCAAGGCGGTAGAGATCGTTGTCGGAAATCATGGTGGGCTCGGGATCGTTTGCGCGGCGATGCTTTTGCGTGATGTGCAAGGAGGATCTTCGGGGGGACTTCGACGTTTGAGCGTCAGTTTTCCGTACCAATACTGCAATAGAAGAAAACAATGACTTGAACGTACAGTGAGTGTCTTTCTTCCAACAATCAATGGAAGGAGTTGAAGTTGTTCGTCAAGGTGAGCTGTTTGGACTTGCTGGCGCGGCACACATGGAGCTTGAGATGAGGATGGCAATGGGTAACCAAACGGACAACTAGACCACTGGAGCTGCTGTCCACGTTTAGACCGGCCACGCTAAGAGTGACTTGGTGCTCGAGTCGGTCCTCCACTTCAGTACCGCACCCCCCGGTCAAATCTGCTGTGACGCTCCGCCCCCACCAATGTAAGCCCTTCACGTGACCCGCCCACCGTGCCTTGAACTTCTGACTTCATCCACGGCGCTCCCACTCTTCTTGGATTTGCAGTGATGACTTTTTGCGTTACGTCGATCTGAGCGGACCCTATCGACCTGTTTGTCGACATCCCACAACAACACGAACCAAACTAATCCCGCCAGAAGCGGTTACTCAGTCGTAGCAGAAGACTTTTGCTTCTGCCCACCAACCTTTTCTCGTCTCCAGAAACCGAATACCCCGCCAAGATGCCTCCCAAGAAAGTGGACAAGCCGGCCAAGAAGGCCGTCAAGGTCGAGGACAAGACCTTCGGCATGAAAAACAAGAAGGGTGGCGCGGCCCAGAAGCAGATTGCCCAAATGGCGTCTTCGATGAGGAATGGTGGCAGTGCTGAAGAGAAGCGCAAGCAGGCAGAGAAGGAGGCGAGAGAGCGCGAGAAGAAGGCGGCAGAGGAAGCCAAGAGGGAGACCGACATGCTTCTGAACAAGCCCGCACAGATTCAAAAAGTCCCGTTCGGTGTCGACCCCAAGACAGTTGTCTGCAACTTTTACAAGAAGGGCAACTGTGAGAAAGGCAAGAAGTGCAAGTTCTCTCACAACCTCGAAGACGAACGCAAAACGTCAAAGAAGAACCTGTACACGGATACCCGCAAGGAAGAGGAGGAGAAGAAGAAGGCCGAGACTTCTGCCGACTGGGACGAGGAGAAGCTTCGCTCTGTCGTTCTTTCCAAGAAGGGCAACCAGCAGACCACAACTGACAAGGTCTGCAAGTTCTTCGTCGAGGCCATCGAGGACGGCAAATACGGATGGTTCTGGATCTGTCCAAATGGCGGCGACAAGTGCAAATACAAGCATGCTCTTCCACCAGGGTAAGTGACATCAGTCCAGCGGTCATTTTCATGCTAACATTGCCACAGATTCATTTTGAAGACCAAGGAGCAGAGAGCAGCTGAAAAGGCCCTCATGGACAAGTCACCTCTCAAGACCCTCACCTTGGAAGACTTCCTCGAGTCAGAGCGACACAAACTTACCGGCACCCTCACACCGGTCACGCCGGAGTCATTCGCCAAATGGAAGAAGGAGCGTCTGGACAAGAAGGCGGCCGAGGAGCAGGCCAAGAAGGCCAAGGAAGCAACTGGTCGTGCCCTGTTCGAAAGTGGCAACTGGCGCACAACCGAGGACGATGAGGAGGAGGACGACGATGATGAAGAAGACGATGGAATGTGGAACTTGGAGAAGCTGCGTGCCGAGACCGCTGCTCTTCGCGAGAAGAGGGAAGAGGAACGTTTGGCTGCCATCAACGGTGGCCCTGTTCCACCAGTGGTACCAGAACCGGTAGCTGCCGAGGCGTCCGGATCTTGAGCTTCCTAACAGAGGAGAAGCCTTCTTGTATGCGCCCGAGGTTGCGAGCAGCACCACGAAACAGGCCGATTCCGAGCACCTGGAAGACCAGGTTCATCCGGCGGCCGTGCCCATGCTACGCCAAACCACGGTGGCAGATCCGTCTACTCTCACACCTAAAATCAATGAAGTATGACTACGTACGTAACGTGCACATCAACTTCCTAAGTTGAGTACTCGTGAGACTACCAATGAGACATATTGAGGATCTTTGGCTACTTAGAGAGAGGCTAGAGATTACTGGTGGTTACATTCAATCATGACGTGGATCTATCTAAACGTCTCCAGTGCCGCTTGATTGCTCAGAACTTTTCCACGTACGGTCTGATGTCAATTTCCTGACTGAAGGCGGAGCGGTGTTGCGTGTGCAGGTACCAGTAGGCATCAGCAATCTTGATGTTGTTAGCAATATGTCTACTTTAGGGTTTTGAAAATCACTTACAGCGTCCGGTGAAATCTTGCCATCTTCTGCGCCATCGTTGGCGACGTAGGCCTTACCCCACGGGGTATCAATGCCTCCGTCGATGATGGCGTGTGCCACATGGACCCCCTTCGGACCGAACTCGCGTGCTAGAGATTGGCCTAAGGCGCGGAGGGCGAATTTGCCTGCCGCAAATCCTCCAAACAATGCGCTGCCTGCGGAAGAAGGTCAGTCATCTTTCAGCTCATCCCCACTCTGAAGACAAACCTTTGATGGATGCCGTGGCTCCAGTGATGATCAAAGACGGCGGGTGAGGGGAGTCGGACACCGACTCGAGCAACAGGGGAAGCGTCTTTTGCGCGAATGTGAAGAACCCCTTACTGTATACCGTGCGTGTTAGTCGCCTCTTCCAGAAGACCCAGTAAACGATGTCTCACGTACGGCGCAGCATCGAGACTGACATCAAGCTCCTCTCGCTTAAGCTCGAGGAACGGCTTGCGGGAAAAGCCGGCGTTGACATTGTAGATGGCGGCAGCGAGCTTGCTTCCAGGGAGCTCCTTCTTGATCGTCTCAAAGGCAGCGTTGACGGCGGCCTCGTCTGTGGCATCGGCCGTGATGCCGAAGGCTTGGCCGCCGGCCTGCTTGATCTCGTCCACAATGGCGTTGTAGCTCTCTGGCTTGCGGGCGAGGAGCACCACTGGGTACGCCTTTGCGAAACGGACGGCTGCTGCGCGGCCTGCTGTTGCGTTAGTCTCGACTGTCTTAACATTACGCTATTGTAGGAGTGCGTTCTGACCAGTGCCGGAACCCGCTCCGGAGATGATTGCGTAGAATGATTTGGAGGCCATGTTTAATCAGACGTTTTGGGATACCGTTTATTTTGGTGTGTTGTTTTCAAGTTTTATTAGGAATTATGAAGTGAAAATGAGATGCTGTGAAATGCGATTGATACGCGGCGAGCAGATGAGGGGTTCAGTGGCTTTATGTCTTATTGAGGCCTGCATGTGGTCGGCCCGGCATTGTGAGATTAGACCATTGCTCGGATTCATGACGGCATTTGCGGAGGGCCGAACGGGATGCCCGATTATTAATGACCCCTCTCCGGCAAGCTCCAATTACGGCCTCCGACCCGGTGCGAGGTGCGAGGGAACGACCATCAAGGAATCGATTAGCAAAGCGCTTTAGAAATGGCGAAAAAAGATCATTAATCAAACGCTGGCGAGCTATGTGTCGTGCAATTGACAGGTCAGCCTGCGCATTCACGGCCTTGTGTCGTTATTGACTTTATCTCCTTCATTACTGACACGAAGTAGACTCCATATCCTCCAATGTACCCAGATACATCGAGTGTCAATTGTACCGGGCCGGTGGGAGATATGGCTTCGTCAGCATCATGACCTGTTGGCGACTTCTCCATCACGAAAAGCCATTAGTACCACTACAAGTAGCGAGAAACGGTGCTCAAGTCTTTCAATGTGATGACAATCTTAAAGTAAGATAGAGACAATAAGTGAGAAGGAGTGACATCGGGGACCTACGCCTTGAGGCAAGTGCGGCAGTCACCCTTGCCTGCGGTGCGAACCGCCCTAAACGGGAAGGCCCCGCTAATTGCCAGTTCCTTCCCCAAGTTCCCTCAACTGCAGTCGACTGCAGTCGCGCCTGCAACCTATCAACGCGTCGCTACCTCATCTTTTCGACCTCAAAGATCGGCCTTTGCAACATCCCCGGCCGATCTCTCGAGTGTCTCGCACTGCTCATACTCAACAATACAACACTAGGTTGGTTTTGCATAGGTCACCCACGCAGCAAACCTCACGACAAGTCATCACAACTTATCACGACTACACACTTTGGGAACCGATTAAATCTCACTCACCAGCATGCTCAAAGAGAACTGTTCAGCTAGGACTCGTCGATTTGAGTAAATTCACCATGCCACCACTATTTCCCACAAACTCAAGCACCAAGGATGAGTCCACCTCACAGGGCCCGACTAATCCGTCTATCCCACGACAACGCACCTTGGATAAGTTTTTCGGCCGACCAGGCAACAGCATGCCACAGACTTTTACTTCAGCCGCTCAGACAAAGCCGAGGACATCAACAGCTCAGCCAGCGCCACGGTCCTCCTCGTTCGCCGTGGTTCTTCCATCGAGTCCTAGAAAACGTACAGGAACGACCCCCATGAGGACAGTCGAGGACGACGCAGACGACCTGGTGATATCGGACCTATCACCCCAGTTCAGAAGACTAGCAGCTCAGGCAAAAGTAGGCGTGAGCCTCGCCAAGCCAGCCTTACCAGAAGCCGTCGCAGATGAGCCAGAGTTAGAGGTAACTTCACCAGGGGCGGCGACTCCTCCACTGCAGCCTCGCAAGCGCGGCCGGCCAAAGGGTTTTCGACCGAATCTGACGGGCAAGAAAGCCCTACAGGAGGCCGGCGAGGCAGAGCCAAGAAAACTGCGGCCAGATAGGCCCAAGACAGGCGCCCTTTACGCGGGAAAGCGGCGAGGTCGACCGCCAAAAGCAGCTTCACCCAAGCCGCGAGAGATCTACAAGAGTCTAAACCCACACTTCAACACGTACATCTGCGAGTGGGAGGGTTGCAAGGCCGAGCTTCACAATTTTGCGACTCTGCAGAAGCATGTGTCGATTGTTCATACCAAAACGGTAGCAGCTGGATGTCGATGGGCCAAATGCGCCCAAAAGCAGCCGCCTCACGAGTTCCCCACACTGGCGGACCTCAAATCTCACGTGGAGGATCTACACATGCTCCCAGTCGCCTGGCAGGTAGGGGACGGGCCGCAGGTGTCGTTCAAGCGATACGATCCCGATGATGGGGCCAAGCTTCCTGACTACCTTTTTGACAAGGCTGGCAACCAAATCACACCGTCAATCAAGTATCAGAAGGAGGAGGACTTGTACACGTGGCGCAACAATAGGCGGAAACTCAAGGATCTTTTGCTTCTCAGAGACCAGAATCTGCCAAGCGAGGAGGAAGACGACGACGCAATGGAGGAGGTGGCCGAAGGAGCATGATGTGGCTGATGGTTGTGGCGCAAGCAAACAGTTGACGTGAATCATGGGCTGAGTCCTGGCGGCTATTGGAGGCGACGACAACACCATTGAGACGATACTGAACGGCGAGGCGAGCACGCTGACAATGCTTGTGAGGACCAAGCTTCATGGCATGGTTTCGGATGAGGGTTGACCGACTGCGCCTCCCTAGGGATGACGGAAACTTCAGGATAACGGGGGTATCCGCTGCTCAGAAGGCCCCTGGAAAGTCGTGCAACGGACTCGTTCGGCCAACTGGAAAGGCCGTTGAGCGGTCTCCCGCTTCCCCAGACGAGCATGGATGATTTGTCGAGGCCTCACTTGACGGGTAGCGGATGGGCCGGGAGAGTCGTCGTCGTCGTCGCGTGTCTGAGCATGATTATTCATTCGAAAGGGATGACTTGGCATTGCGGCTCTTGCTAAATTAGACAGTTCAGGCTGATGCAGGAAGGGAAGGGAAGCAGAAAAAAAAGGCGCCAGGGACGAAGTCTGGTCGCATTCCATCTTACATCATCGGCGGGGATGTGCGGTGTTTTGTGGGGGAGATTGCCCAACGTTGCATGAGGAGGCGAAGGTGGAGTGACACCTCGGCATCCAGGGAGGGCCGCTGTTCAGGAAGAAACACGTCCCAGCCCTCCTCTCTTGGGCATTCAGGGCATTCGATTCAGCAGGGCGGCGGGAAGTAGGCCGGCTTACCGGGCATCAGTTAAATCGAGTTTCTTCTTTGCAGAGGTTTCGGGTGGGCGAAACGAACAATCGGAACAGACGAGGTAGGATAGCACGATATCCCTAGGTAGAGCCGAGAGAGGACCACCTACACCAAAAGAAAAAAGAACCTGAAGATCGGTTCTAGAATACTTCCCATGCAGCATTACACGCCTAGTAAATCAACGGGCGGCCGACGGGCTCAGGTGCCAATGCAGAGGGAAAAGTGAGAGACTGGGTGAAGACTGTGAAATGATTCGTCGAAAAGCGCTGAACGCGAACGTGACAAGCCAACCACACCAGCTAGGTACGGAAGGTGGCGATGGGGGATGGCGCCGCCGTGGATGCTCGCGACTTTTCTCTACTCGGTCGAGTTCTGTCTTAAAGGCTGTAGAGTCGAGTTCCATGGTTGATTAACAAGCAGGCGGGAAACCTCTTTAGTGCCCCAGACGACTGGATCGCCGGCCATTGACCCGCGCTGTGTCGTGGTGGTGTGGAGGGCTGAAAATGGACCGATTGAGGGGGGACATAAGTACTCTGTTGTAACCTAACACCACCTGGGTACTAAGTTACGAGGGGCTGGAGTGCTAGCGCGGGATTGCACGACGGGTGTGGTTGATGGGAGCGTGTCTTGCAAAAAAGAGGGTTGATAGTGTGACAGTGTCTTATTAGACATTTCAGAAACAAGCTCGTGTAAGGTTTTTTTTTTCCTTTCCATCTCTCGTCTGTCCAAAAGTTGCAGCGGTAGACGTGGAATAGCCTGCGAGGTCAAACGCAATGAGGCTTTTATTTGCCCCGACATCTGTGCCCATTTCTGCATATTCGTCTGATGCTGGGTGTTTTGCACGAGCCCTCGAAGGGGGAGAAAAATATAAAACATGTCAACGGCGGGGACTTCCTCGTGAGGACGCAGAAACTAGAAAAGAGAGGGTGAATCAGAGACTGAGGTAGAAGATTGACGGCTGTTGTCGTGGGAAACATTGTTGTGAGAGCTGGGGCTCTGGCATGTAATTGCCGGTGAGGCTTTCGTATCTCGAGCTGGCGCCGGTGTTATCTTGGCTCTTGACAGTGCATTGGGCTTGCGCTCAGTAGTCAGTACCAAAGCCCATGTTGTGCGTTTTATTTGTCCTGCCTTCATCGTCGACACTGGCCGGAGGGATGAGAACGCATGAATAAGAACCAGAACGCTCTGAAGCCAAAAGGGAGAGAAAGAAACTGGAACAGAAGGTAAAGGCATCAACGGTTGGGAAGAGGGCACTTGAGATAGAGTTGACGAGTGATATACCGGTACTCTCCCTTTGGTTTTGAAGGTGGTGTGGACAGACGGGACAAGATGCCTACCTTATGCATAGAAGAATCGAGATAGGTACCTCGAGTGACTTGCAAAGCCAATGACCCAATGGAATAACGTTAGCTGTGGTGAATGGGGAAATTTGCGAGGCGTGGAAAATCGTCGGGGAAAAGAGCACCAATCGCCGGATCAAATGCCCTTTTGTCAGCAAAGCCATCCCAATTCCCATTTTGCAAGCAGCCTGCCAGCCTGCTCGGACCTGACAAGCACACAAGCCTGGACTGAACAGAAAGAACAGAGGCACAGAACTCTGGACCAGCATTGAGAGAGGTCTTGACCAACGCTGGAACCTAGAGGAACCTAGGCCCAAGCCGGGCCCGCCTGAAGCGGAACATCCCTGCCAAAAAGCCGTCCCATTCTGATCCGTTGGTGGATGTCTTGTATCATTGGATCCTCTCCCCTCCCCCCTTGGCCATGCCACACAGTAAGGCAAGGCGATGAAAAGTCACCTGGTAAACTGCCTCTTTACCCCCCGAAGGCGCGCGTTTCCTGCTGTGCTGCCGCTCTTTCGCGTGGGCTGCCTGTATACCCACTGGAGCTAGGGATCCCCTGTGCCTCGCGGTGCACTGCCCGAGAGCCACTGAACAGTGGGCACAGGTCTCGTCCATCTTTATCCGCCCGTACATAGAGAGGAGAGAGAGAACAATTGAGCCCCGGTGGGCGGCGGCGGCGGCGACAGAAAGAGCGAGAACCCAGTGAGCTCCCCAAATGGGAATCGAGAGTGCTGTGAATTGTGAGAGGAGCGAACAGATAGCCGTACCTAAGGTAGTGTAGTTCTCGGGTGACGAGCCAAGACCAGGACTACGACCAGGACCTCGACCTGGACCACGGCCACGGTCATCGACCAACGAGCGGGGGGTTTGATGGATGGTCCATGGTCCATGGGAAGTTGAGGTGTGGAAGCCGAAGCGTGAAGCCCGTCCGGAAAGACGCCTAAGCCCACCTCATATTACTAACTCGCTTTCGACTCTCTCCTCCCCCGTCCACCGCTCGCCTACCGCCTATTCTATCCGTCCTTGCCTACCACCACCACCTACCAACCATCCCGTTCTGTCACCTACCTACCTGCCAGCCAGCCAACACCTATCTTTCTCTCCCGGCCTTGCTTGCTGCACCTCCTCCTCGTCCTCCACCACCACCCGACCCTACCTTACCTTTTCGACGCTACTTACACTCCGCATCCAGTCCCACGTTCCTCCCACCTACCTCACCCTCACCCTTCACCTTAACCTACTCACCTCCGACCTACCTCCTTACCTACCTGCATACTACCGTCGCCGCTCTTCTTCCGCTCCATCTCCTTTCCGCACTTCCGAACATCGTCGGTCCTCTTCGCATCTCTCCCGTAACTGTCCCGTCAGCCATGGCATCGGTCGCTTGATTGCGCACCCCCGAGATTCCGATATGCCTGCCAGCCGAACCCACCAGAATGGCGCTGCCCAGTTCAACCAGAAGCTGAAGAACCTCTTCCGCATCAACCTCAACAGCGGCGCCGACCGTGACAGAGAAAAGTCCTCCGCTGCTCACGTCCACTCCTCACAAGACGCCGCCGCCCCCCGTCCAGAAATCCGGAGCAAGTTTGGTAGCAGCTTTTTCAAGGGCACCGTCGGCCGATTGAGGACAAACACCACAGCCAGCGAAGGCAACCCCCTCGACGAGGCCCTCAGCCCGACCGCGCACGCGAATCCCTACTTTGCACACCAGGGTCAGCCGGGCCTTCGCCATCACAATCACGAATCAGTACCTCCTAGCCCTCCCGATACCCCAAATTTCAAGATCCAAGGTCCTGACGGCGGCCCCGAACAGCAGACGACGAGCGCCGGACGTGAGGAATTGGCAAGGAAACTTAGGAGAGTCGCCAGTGCCCCCAATGCCCAGGGCTTGTTCTCCAAAGGCAAGGGCAGCGCCGAGCGTCCCGCCACCGCCGAGTTGAGCAAGGACCCGTTGGTTCTCGACAAGGACTCGGGCACCCTCGAGATGGTTGATCCGTCCAAGGCGTCTGCCCCTAGCCTGGGCGTCCCCGACAAGGACGTCCTCGGCAACCTCCCACCCCCGAACCGTACGAGTCTCGCATTCCGGAGGACCTACAGCTCCAATTCCATCAAGGTCCGCGATGTCGAGGTCGGCCCGCAAAGTTTCGACAAGATCAAGTTGATTGGCAAGGGAGACGTCGGCAAGGTCTACCTCGTCCGCGAGAAGAAGAGCAGTCGTCTCTACGCCATGAAAGGTAATATTCAATCCAGGATATCCGGTAGCCAAACCCTGACATGTTGCTGACTCGCTGCAGTATTGAGCAAGAAGGAGATGATCAAGCGGAACAAGATTAAACGCGCCCTTGCCGAGCAAGAAATTCTAGCTACGAGTAACCACCCCTTCATTGTTACGCTGTACCACTCATTCCAATCGGAGGATTATCTTTATCTGTGCATGGAATATTGCAGTGGTGGAGAGTTCTTCAGGGCGCTACAGACGCGCCCCGGCAAGTGTATCCCCGAAGACGATGCGCGATTCTACGCCGCCGAGGTCACCGCGGCCTTGGAATATCTGCATTTGATGGGCTTCATCTATCGCGACTTGAAGCCAGAGAGTGAGTTCGACGAGAGCCAGTTTCGCGCTTACCAATCGGTTGCTGACATACTATGCAGACATCTTACTCCACCAGTCGGGCCACATCATGCTTTCGGACTTTGACTTGTCGAAGCAGTCCGATCTCGGTGGAAAGCCCACAATGGTTATTGGCAAGACAGGTACCAGCACCACCTCATTGCACATCGACACTCGGTCCTGCATCGCCAATTTCCGCACCAACTCGTTCGTCGGAACAGAGGAGTACATTGCACCAGAGGTCATTAAGGGTAGCGGCCACACTAGTGCCGTGGACTGGTGGACCCTCGGCATCTTGATTTACGAGATGCTTTACGGAACCACTCCCTTCAAGGGCAAGAACCGAAATGCGACTTTTGCCAATATCTTGAGGGAAGACATCCCCTTCCCGGACCACGCTGGGGCACCTCAATTATCCAAGTAAGCTTGAAATGACGTAATGAAAATGCAAGTTGAACTGACAAGAGTGTAGCCTTTGCAAATCCCTGATTCGTAAACTTTTGATCAAAGACGAAAACCGGAGATTAGGTGCCAAGGCCGGTGCTTCGGATATCAAGGCTCATCCGTTCTTCAAGACGACTCAGTGGGCGTTGATTCGACACATGAAGCCTCCCATTGTGCCTGTTACTGGGCGCGGCATCGATACTGTCAACTTCCGCAATGTTAAGGAAAGTGAGAGCATCGACTTGAGCGGATCCAACCCGCTGCAAGCAAACCTCAAGGGAGTTCCTCTGGATAGTGGCATGACGACCCCCGGTGGTGAAGTCGTTGATCCTTTCGAAGAGTTCAACAGTGTCACGCTGCACCATGACGGAGACGACGACCATCACTCACAACAGAGTGGACAAAATCACTCGTAGTCCGCTTCGTCACTGCATCCAGGGCAGTGACAGTGGCTGGAGGGCTTCGTGTGTAGGAGCGAGGCCAATTGAATTAGTCACGCTCATGACTGGGATCGAGCGAGAGATAGGATAGCCCCCGAGAGAGTGTAAGAGCTAGGTGCTTTTTGACCAAGGGTACCTACAGCCACGGACTATTATTTACAAGCGACGAGATTGAAGAGAGATGAGAACTCACGAGAGGCGAGCGGAGCAAAGAGAAAAACGACCACAGCTCTTCGAGTTGAGGGAATCAAAAAACAAGGCTGCGAAACCACGAAACCACGCTACAAAGGCCTTCATGGTTCCCCCCTTCTCGAGGACTATCCACGGACTTCTCACGAAAATATTTCAACCTGCAGCATAGGGTCTCTGTGCCTTCATCATTAGGAGTTTCCTGTTATTCATCATCCGTTTTCCCCGTTTTGGAGGGAAAGTCCTCCATTTGGCGTTTATCGAGTTTGGGAAACTGGGTTTTTTTTTTCTTTTCAAAGAAACGAGAGAACAGAAGCGAGAGAAAGAGAAAGGCAAGACAAGCGCGTGAGGATCGAGAAAGCGGAAGCGATGTGGGCTGTTGAGTGAAAAAGAAAAGAAGAGAGAAAACTTCCATGGGGAGGGAAATCTTCTTTTTCTTGGTTTTCTGTAAACCCTTGCCATCATTAACCACGAATGAAACGTAAAAAAGCTTGAGAAATCATACAACTTTGCGTGCCATGAACGTGACATCTGTAAGGCAGACGAATAGGGGGATTGACTAGGCATTCAGTCTCATCGGAAACTCATTCCGGCGAGGTCATGTAATCGGCCTCGACTTCACAATCAGTTGTTGAACAAGGAGTAAGCCACATGAACGGGGCCAAGCAAACCTCATTGAAAAACACTAGACTCGACTCTATCGCTAAACAAACATTGGTTTCTCTGAACAGGTAGATGCCTCGATCGGGTAGACATCGTAAACTGTCTTTCGCTTCCCAGAAACAGCACCTCTTCTTGCGCCAAGTGGGCGACAACGTCTCGCCGTACCCACCCAACCTCCACGATTCTTCTTCTTTTACGCTGCCAGCGAGGTTGGGAGAAGCTAATTCATACAGACAAGATACAAACACGTGCGCTGATGTTGATGTCCCGTAATATGGTCGTTGCGGAAACATGTTTAACGAAGACGCATTCTAAAGCTTCGCCTTGACGGCTTGCTGCTTCGAGGGAGCCGTTGCCTCCTCGTTAAGATTGACAGAGCCCGTCTTCTCACCGTTTCCAAAGAAAATGACTTGCACCGTCAAATCGTCCCTGTTTCGGATTGGTCAGTCTTCCTGATTCATGTACTCTACCTCGAACTTGCAGCCTGACTCACCTGTAGCGTCTCGAGAAGGGGGAGGGCAGAGTCAGCAGGGCGGAGACCTGCTCTTCGTTCTTGCCACCAAGGGCGTTACGGACCAAGTGCGTAGCCACGTTCTTGTCCTTGACGACGAACCGTTCGGGGGCGTCGGGAGAAATTCCCCACTGCTGCAGGCGGATAGGCGTCTTCTGGCCATCGACGCTCTTGTCGCTCGCCTGCTCGACGGGGAGGCTAGACTTCTTGGATCCGAAGAGCTTGGACCAGGTAGAATCAAACTGCGAGCCAGAGCCGCTGGCTTGAGTCTCGATCCACTTGCCGACAAGACCAACGACCTCCTCGTTGGTAAGCATCTCCCACAAACCGTCGGTAGCCATAACTACAAAGTCACCATTCTCAGGCTCAATCTTTGTGGTTGTGACGACAGGCTCGGCAGTGACGTACGGGGGCGTCTTGAGGAGAGGGGAAGCGGACCGGGCAAAGAAGGATTCACGGAGTCGGTTGGTGATCTCGCGGCTCCACTTGTAGCTAGCATCGCCGAACGCGCGGGTCGGTTCCAAACCGCCAAGAACTCGGCCGTTGTGAACGACTCGGTCCTCGCCAGGGTGGAGCTTGCGAAGGCGGGCTGCCTCATCGGGGTTGCCTCCTGTTTGGTCAACAGAGAGAGCGGTAGCTGTCCACTTGCCAGACGCAGATCGACGACCGAGGACCGCTCGCGAGTCGCCAGTGCAGGCAACTCGCAAAAGCTTGGATCTGCTATCGTAGAATGACAACAGGGCGCAGGAGCCAGACAGGGCGGGTGCCAGCAGCTCTGCAGCCATAGTCTTGGAGCCGGCTTTGAGAACCCTCTCGACGCTCTGGTTGACAATCTCGTCATCCAGACGAGTGAAACCAAGCTTGATGGCGGTATCGATAGCATCAGCCGCAGGAGACAGGTCAGCGGATGACTGGTAGGTCTGGTTGAGCTCGTTGGCAACGGAGGCAATCAAAGTCTGGCGCAGCTTTGCCGAAGTTGTCCAGCCACTGTTCAGTGGTTAGCATTCATCAAAGACAACGCCGCCATAATGTTCACTTACGCATGGCCGTCAAAGACGCCCCAGAACATCCAGTCGTTGCTCTTGCCGGCAGCACCCGCGGCCTGGTTCGGCACCTCGACAATCTTCTCGGCATGGTCGTCTTCGATGGGATCGTTGCTAGGAAGCTGGACAAGGTCGTAGCGCAGTACGCCCTGTCCTCTATTGACGAGGAAGGACTGCTCCGTCTTGCGCAGCTTCTCGGTAGCTTGTTCGGGGGTCAGCATCTCGATAACCTTACGGCCGTCGTCGCTCGTCGTCTTGGATATCGGCCCCTCTCCAACAAATGTACCGGTATGCAGCTGATCAGCGCCTACGACGAGAACAGAACGGGTCGGGGCAGCATCGCCGCCGGCATTGGATGCGGTGGTGAAGCTCCTCGTCAAGCTCGATGCCTTATCGAGACCGGTTCCGTTGTAGGAGTACCAGGCGCCGTAGCCGACGAGGGTGGACACAAGGGCGACGGAGAAGCGGCGGATGTACATGGAGGACTTTAGCGGCTGGACGGCATGCTCGGGGTGGTGTTGATACGAGGAGGAGGATCGCAGGCCGTGGCGGGTAGCGTAGGACGAGGAGAGGTTATGGTCCAAGAGACCCCGTCGGCTGTTGCGTGCGAAACTACGAGCCGTACATCGGTAAGTTGTCCGTAAGGCCCTCACTGCTGCGCGATGCATTTGGGGCAGCGAGATGAGAGTGAAAGGCGGTTGGACTGGAAGGCGATCCGAGTCCAATAAGGAGTGTAGAGAGAGTGTCGTGGGAGGGTTTGAGGAAGTGAGCTACCGGCGGGCTGCCAAGACGTCGTGTCGTGCCTCAGGCCGCGGGCGGGCGTAATCGAGTCTGGGGAAGCTGTACGTAGGTGCAGTTGAGTGCAGCACTGTGGACCTTGGTGTCCCGTGTTGGTCAGGTACCTTGTGCCGCCTATCCTTGGCCCGCGATCAGTGGTGGTGATTGCTGACTATAGCAACGTCAGAGGAACAACTCAATATTGGCATACAGGTTTGCTAGCGCCTACAACGGGATCAAAGACGCCAAATGTGTCGTCGGATGTTTCAGGGATTCGTTTGTCAGTTTGGTGAGAATTCTTTGCGTTGCGAACGACAAACAAAGTCAACCAAGGGAGTACGATACCTACTTCACCTGTCTTAGGTTGAGCCTTGAGGTAGTAGTGATGGGTACGTATTACTGCCTTAGCTTCTGGCCGAGTGTTATCTTATCCGCAAGACCCCACTCAACTTTAAGGTAAGGTAAGGTAAGTGGAGGTAAAGTATCCGCAGCTGTAGTCACCTCACGGAGTACCCTAAGGTGGCTCAGAGAGCCTGCTTCACCATCCTCAACTCTTTCTTTACCTCGTGCATGTATTATGTTCGCCCGGCATTCAAAGCCGATGTGCTGGACCACCGGAGCGTGCTAGCGTACGAAGTTTTACTTTCGACGCCAGCCGCAGAAGATGTTCAGTACAGGCCATGGCATGTGGGCTACAATCACCTGAGTGTGTCTCTGAATGAAAGAATTATTAAACTGCCTCGCTATGGACCATGCCGTCGTTCCCATGTCCCTTGAACTCCTATGCCTGCTTCTTTTGAAGCCCTTAGCCCCCACCTTTAGTAGCCTTCCTAAAAACGCCTTGTCATGAGCAAGCACACCTTGCTGGAGAAACAATCAACTCTGTTCATCGACCCTGCTTGCCCTGTCCTTCATATCGCATTGGCCGTCAAGTGTAGGTCTGGAGGCACCTGCCAGCCATGGGCCATGGCAGAGCGTCTGTACGCATCAATGGCCTCACCGACGCCATAGTCGGGTCCTCCTCCAGTCATTTGGCCTGTTCCCTGGTACTCAAGTCTAGCTGGAAAAGGCTCGAGATTGCACAGAGCCAAGTGAACCTGGAGTAGAACACTCTCCATACTGCTCGCAACAGACCAACCGCTGTTCGTCAGAAGCTCCATGCACATGGCACCGCCAGCCGTGACATGACCACCACCTCTGCGCGAAAAGGGTAAGAAACGGGGGCGAACGACCCGGACGAAGGGGGGCGAGTGAGGGAACTGGCGGCCAAATCGGATCTCGAGGACGATGCTCTCAAAGCCTGCTCGCTCCATATCCTGTGCAAGAGGCAAGGACTTTTCGAAGCTGTGCAGCTCAACGATCCACTGAAACATGTTTGTAATGTTGCTAAAATCGATGAACCAGCCGAGCTGATGAAGAGGTGTTGTAGCCTGCACCTTCTGTAACTTGCCAAGCTCTTTGCCGAGGACCTTTCGCCCCGCGTCTGAAGCCCAGCTCGGGGCTGGCAGCTGAGGCAGTGTCGTTACGTCAAGTGTGCCCGGCGTGAAAGAGGTCTTGTCTGGATCAGTCTCCGGTTCGGCATCAAGGACGACTGTATCGGCGTCTTTGTTGTCGTTCTCTTCCTCCTTTCGGAGGTCCATGATCTTGTCAAAGTCATCTGGCTGGTCGTCGCCCGAATCATCCGTGAGGATGATCGGCTGAGACCATGAGGACCCTGGAACAACGGATTTCTGGCGCCACTTTGGCAGTGCTGCAGCTGGGATCTCCAACACGGTATTGTTAATCCCCACCGGTTGCCACTTGGGATCTTGTAAGATGTACTCCGGCTTCGTCTCTGGCTCTTCTTCGTGCTTCACTGATTGGTTCCGCTGAATAATGAGGTAGCGGCACTGGATCCAATCAACCTCGTCGACAACATAGTACGGATGAACGGATTTGAATCTTTCCGGACGGTTGATAATCTCGCAGAGACTCATAGCGGCGTACAGCTTGAGTTCTGAACCCGCCCATGATGTCTCGTTGCCCTGCTTCATGCAGTAGCCCAAGCTTGTTGCGAAATCGCGGGCGAAGTACACTCCATGACCATAGGCACGCCCATGGAGCATTTCTTTGAAGTCCAAACCAGTCCGGATGATACTGTGCCAATTCCCGAGCGGGCTCCCGTGCCATGCAAACATCGTTGGGTATCTTTGACTCGCCTCCTTCTCAAGCTCTTTCTTGAACCGATTCTCTTTCTCAGGGGATCCTTGGGCAAAGCGGAATTGCATCCAATCGTCACCCAATCCGACGAAGCGTTCCTTTTGTCGAGCCTCAGTCGCTTGAATCCCGCCAATGTCAAGGTCAACCGGCTGGTCAATCTGTACAATGAGCGAGCGGTTGGAAGCCACAACCCATCGAAGCAAAGCCAGAGCCGACTTGGATATCATCTTGTACTTAGATAGAGACCAGCCTTGGTGGCTTAGAAGAAAGTCCCGTAGGTATCTGATGGGAGGGATCGTCTGCACGAGAATCAATAACGCCTCCCTCCGATACGCTTCGCTCAGACTGTCGAGATCATGATCGTAGAGATATAGCTCAGCATCGCCCTCCTCATCATCGATGTATTCTTCGTGATAGACGTGTGTCTCAAAAGGCGGTTGAATATACCCGGGGCGCGGTTGAACAACTGTACTATAGTACGTTACTTTGTCGGTTGATATGAGACGATCGAACTCAAACGCTTTGCCACAATCGTTGCCGCTGTCGTCATGGATCGTGTTGACTGAGATGATGCGGCAATGGTGCATGTTTAGATCTTTCCCATCGCGGCGCAAAACACGTTTGGCCAAAATGATCATGTCTCCCGGTCGCAACTTCTCCAGTTTCTCGGAAAAGCGCACGTTGAACTTCCCAGCAGAAATTTGGGCCCAGACTAGAATTCCGGAATCTTGTACTATCTGCGGCTGCATTGGGGCCTGAATCGGGACCTGCATCGTTGTTGCCTGGAATCTGTTCATCGCAGACGTGGAATCTCCTGGTGTGACATGGCTTGGGACGGGGACTTTGATAGACAGACCTCGCGGCCATTCTCGAATTCGGCCACTTTTCAGAGCAGCAGCGCAGAAACTGATCAACAGGTCGACGACATAGGGACGAGCGATGATGTCGTGCTCAGTACTGGGACCCAGACCTAAAGCCATATACTGGAAGAGACAGAGAGGATCGTTGCAGACGTACGGCTTGAGGGCAGTAAATCCAGGTTCAGTTTTGCGATGGCATACGAGGCAGTACTGCGTGCTTTTGACAAAGTAGCGCAGAGCGAACTGCATCGCAATCAGGGGCAAGCTGAGTTCTTCGCGCGGCGATGGGCCCGTATCCCGGGGGTTTTGTCGTACGTAGTCCTTGTTGAGCGATGTGAGAGCTGACGTCGAGACTTGAGCCTCTTCTTCAATCGAGCTGTCGGCCGTTTGGCTTCGCTTCGAATCGTGACTGCTTTGTGTGGAGCTGTCGACACGCAGGTGCCCTTCTTTGGTCATCTCCTCCATCATGTCCTTTGCGCGGTCCCAGGAGACACCATCATCCAATCGAGTCTTCAGCAGGGTGACAAACTCCTTATTCAGGAAAATGTCCAGCGATTCCGAAATGGGCATTGAGCAAAACGCCGCCTCGCGAGAGGTCTCCTTCGGCAGGCCGTCTTTCTCTGAGCTCTTCTTGGCAGTGTCGAGATTCTTTTGGAATGGAATGAGTGCTGAGTGAAGGGTGGGCTTGAAAGAGGCGCACTTCCCCAAACGAAACTGCATAGATTCCGAATGGCCTGGGGGAAGCTTCGTAAATGTTTCCACATAAGGATAACCTGCATCGTACTTGAAAAGCAATACGATGTAATCTGAAGCGCTAATTTCCCAGGCCTCTAGTGTGTCCTCGCTAATCCCCAGGTGTTCGACTAGAAGGGAAAGTGCGAAGATGCAACTTTCCTCATATGTGGCAGCGTCGCCCAACAGAGAGATCTTGAAACCGGCGTCTTTGGCTTTCTGAAGATCGTCGATTAGGCGGCTAGGGAACTTGGCTGAATGGCTGGGTGGTTGCAGAGTAGCATCACCGCCAAAATCAATGCCGAAGTCAATATCGTCATATTCGTAGTCCTCGTCGTCGTACTCTTCTTCGTCCTCGTCTTCGTAATTGCCGCAATGTTCGTCGTCGTCAATATCCGTCATTTCCACATCCGAGCCTTCGTCAACGTTCGCCGAGTTGAGGTTTGAGCTCAGCTTCTTTGAGATAATTACCAGCGTTTTCAGTATGGTTCTGCCCTGACTGAGGTTGGGAATATCGTCAAGGACTTTGGAAACCGTACTCGAGACAGATTCCTCCTTGGTGTATGCCACAAAGCCAGGGCCATGCGGGTAGTCGTCCACATTCAAGGCAGTAAGGCAAACGGTGAGAGGAGATGGCAGAGCATCATGGGAAAGAACGAAGGTGAGTTCGCCGTCATCATCTCCTTTCTGAAGGCCCGAGATATGCTTAACCTGCTCGCGGGATGCCTGAGCCAGATCGGCATTGAATTTGTGGCGTGCCATGGTGAAGAATAGTGGTGTAGCAATGTAAACATGCGAAAGTGATATTCAGAAGTCGAGTTGTGCCGCTTCGATACAAAAAAGTAACCAGCAGCGGCCGCCTTCTCTAGGAAGAATGTTAGCCAAGCAATGAATGTACACCGCGGGGTACAACTGGTAGTGCGGGAGAAGTGTGATGCAAGGGTCAAATGGAAAAAGAATACATACGGGAAATCGCTTGGCTTTAAAAGACCTGGAGATGTGCAAAAGCGACTCTTGAGGGAGTATCTCCTGGAGCTTCACACCAAAGAATAGCCAGTGAAAGAATTAGAGAGAAGTGCTCACAAGCCGATGAGTCGCATGTTGAGTGTCATCAATCGAGAGATTGGGACAATGTGCTAGGCTTTGGACGTAATCCCGAGGAATTTCGAGGACGTTCGAGGTAAGGTAAGGTAAGGTAGGGTGGAAGGTGGTGAGAAGGAAAGGTGAGGGAAGGGTAAGGCAGGTACGTAGGCAGGCAGACAGATAGGCGGACGGGACGATAGTGGAGAGCAAGCCGGGCAGGCAGGCGGAAAGAGGAAGGAAGGCAGCAGTAAGTGACTACCTGCCTTTTGAGAGAGATGATGGGAAAAATCGAACCAGATGGCAACTACATCAAATTTCAAAGTGTTGCGTTTGGGGATGGGCTAGGGGTCACAAATCGTGGAGATCGGAGTAATGGTGATAGAAGTTGGGCTTAGTGCTATCCAATACCTCTAGGATTACGGGAGGACGAACGGGGCATACCTAGCAACAATGAAAATGGGGGTTGTACATAAGTAAACAGACTGTTGGCTGAGGCATCCGTCAGCCTGGGTAGAAACGGACCTACGATTCACCTGCAGTGACATTGATGGATGGCATAGGGAAGTGGACCAAGGCAATCACGGTGCAGCCCCCAATGTAGGCCATTCTATTTCGTACCAGGCCGCGAATTGTCGAACGTGACGCCCAAAGACAAGACACCGTTATGTCTTAAGTCCCAACTTGCTGGTTGAGATCGTTGGGGTCCAGAAGTTACCTTTAGTACCCTGTAGGCTGTCGCCTGCTGCCTACCCCCTGCTACCAACCAACAGTCTGCAACGCTGTACCAACCGCCGTATTCCTGTTCCAGAAAGATGATTGGGCATTTTCAGCAAATGCAATCTCTCTCTGATTTCCCTACTGCATGGTCTTTCCCAGGTAACTCAGGGCCGAGAGGGAGTCGAAAGCTCCTCACAGGCATCTAACGAGGACTCCATACTTCCGGAGCAGAAAAAACGGCTTTTCTTATCAGACGTTGCATCCGGACACGGCCCCACGCCGGCCTCATCTAGCGGGGTTCGGGCGGTCCCGCGTAGCGACCCTACTTTTGTGATTCCCTTTTCTCAATATCAAGATGCCAATAGTTGTCAACCTGCCTCCGGATAGGAAAGACGACGTTGAAGAGACCCTGCAGCTGTATTTGTAGTGTCGAATTACAGGCGTCTGTTGATATCCAAGTAGTAAAAAACACAGGCTTACATTGTGCTCTAGCCATGCGCCTTATTAGGCATCAGTCGCCTGCCCTCCTCCAAGATTCCATTGGCAAAAAGGTATGGGGCAATAGAACGAAGAACCAAACAGGACGAAGGATAGCCCTTTCTAGACACTTTAGATAGTCAAGGTAGTGAACAAGTCATACTGGACGCAACCAAATACCGTCGTACAGTTAAATCACAGGTAGACTTTTCCATTGACCAGACCGAGATTATCATTATCGTAACTACTAAACCACACACTTCAAATCGTCTTCATCTGAAGCCTCTCCGACCCGTACGGACTAATCTGCACCGGCTTGCCGCCCGTCCACCGATAATACCCAACAACCTTCTTCACCGCGCCGCCCCAACCGAGCTGCCTCCTCCGCCACGCCTTGGTGTTCGACCCGTCCCGGCCCTGCTGCACGACCATGGTAGGGTTCACCGCCGAGTCAGCCATGACCTCGACGTCTCCGCCGCCGGGCTCCGCCATGTCCATGTACATCTCCGTCGCCTGCTGCCGGCGCCATCTCGACTGCGGCGGCATCGACATGAGAGATATCCCGTTGGTGGCGGCGGCGGCGGTGTGAGTTTTGCTGGTGGGGAAGAAAGACTCGACCGTCCCCGCGGCGGCTACTTCGAAATACACCTCGAGGCAGCGCAGCTGGTCTAGGTAGATGATGAGGAGGCACAGGATGGCAGCGCCGATGGAGGCGACCCAAAAGACCCAGAACCGCGGCGCGTTGGGAGAGTACTCGTCGTTCATGGAGAGGATGGCGGAGACTACCGTGAAGGGGAGGAGGATGCCTCCGAGGTACGTTACGCGGTCGAGGGCGCGCTGATTCGCTTCTTTGCCGCTGTCTGCGGCCATGGCGTCTGGGTACGGCTGGTTATTGGTGCCTTGCATGGGCATGTTGACATCCCGCGTCTGAAGGACCGCCGTCGTCGGCTGCGTCCGGGGCCACGCGGTCTGCGGCCTCGGCGTCGAACCGAGCTTCGAGATGGCGACGCGGCGCTGGAGACGCTCAAGGAGGGACCGCCAGTCTGGGTGCCGCATGCCACCGCCGCCGCCCAGGAGCGGCTGGCGCGCTTGGTCCTGCGCAAGCTCGAGGTTCTGCTCGAGAGACTCTGTCGCCTGCCAGTAGAGCCCCCCGTCCTGCAGGGATCCAGGCTGGGCGCATGAGGGGAGGGTCTCGAAGAAGTCGAGCCACTTATCGTGGACCGCCTCGCAGAGGATCTCGGGAAGGGTTTGCCTCGTGACATTGGAGTGACGAAAGGTGCGGAGAAGGCTGTCTTCGAGGCCTGGGAGCTCGTCGCCTTCGGCTATGAGGACGTTCCAGACTGAGGTGCCATCCATTTGGGACTCGTCTATTTTGCTTTGCCATGAGCGGGTGACGGAGAGTGGTCTCCGCGCCTTTTGGACCTGTGAAGATGGATCGTTCCAGATGGGGCGGTCTAGGAAGAGGACTGAAGGCGCAAGTCAGTACGTGGAATGTATCCATTAGGACCCGTTGAGAACTTACCATCAGCTTTGCTGTTCATCCATAACGAAGCCTGGCAGAACATGACTGCCTGCCCATCCCTCGACATCATATGAAAGGGCGCCTCGTCCATGACATCCACTAAATCAGATTGCCTTGCCGACGGCTTATACCCAGGATCCGGGCCATAGTTCCCCCTCGTAGTCTTGACCAGCTCCGGATACGCAAACGAAACAAAACTCGAGCCCTCGTCGTTCCTCGACGGTCGATGCCGCCGCCTCCCCGCATGTGCTTCGAGAAACCCAGAGTTCACGCCGAGGGAATCCCGCAACACCTGGACCAGATCCAGCGGCAGGCCCTGGACGATGGTGAGCCGCCTTCGGCCCACGGCTTCCCTCAAGAGGTCTTCGGCGTGGTTGAGGAGGCGCTGCTTGCACTTGTCCGTCTCCCAGTCGAGGACGTAGGCGGAGGAGCTCGACTCGGGGAACTTGCTCATCAAGGATGATCGCCGGACGAGGAGCGCGGGCGTGTTGGAGCGTTTTGTATGGAGTTCGGCCGAGTCGCTGGCCGTGAGAGGCGGCGACTGCTCGAATGTCTTTGATCCGACCATTGCTCCCTATTTAGTTTTGAATTGATGTAAGCCACTTTTTTGACCGTTTCGCGTTGCTGGCTGGGTGCTATGTTATGAAAATCTCCTCTTTTTTTCAACGATAACCATCTCGAACGACGCCAGAAAAGAAAGATCACCCTCGAGTTATAATAAAAGTGAGATTGAAGCCACGGCTGGCAGCTTGGTGCCATTGTTGGCTCATCAAGTGACCTGAGCTAGAGCATCTGGATTTAGAGCTTTCCCACCCCCCTAAGCTCTCTCACCTGTGCTCTAGTCCCATCTTAGTCCGACTTTGGGCCCAAAGTGAGATGTGGTTTTGGTGGTGTCGGCCGGCCATGGCAGCTCGGTGGCTGACTGTCGCGAAATGACGGGGATGAGATTCGCGTGCTCTAGTTTAGTCCTGAAACCATCCGGGGCAGATGTCGATGAGTAGTAGGCTTGCCACGTCAAGCCATCCCTTCTACTTGAAGGATACGAACAATGTGTGGTTTCGGAACACGCTCATGATCAGGTTCGGCACACGGCACGCTTGCTAGATTGGCGCCTACGATAGATGCGCTTCAGAATTCCCAAAGTGAGAGAAAATCTGTGTTGGTTTTATCTTCATAGAGGTCGGCGGCGATGGTGGTAATTCAAAGTCATCTCTCATTGCCAGCTCATAGACAACCTCTCGATGAAGGTAACAGACGGCTTGGACGCTATGATTCAGTGCCTCGCGTACAGGCTCTTACCCAGCCCTTCTCCCCTGACAAGAAAGACATCTGAAGGGGCATACTTAGACGTCATGTAAGACGCTCTAACGATAACCTCCTTTACCGCTCCAAACTGTCTTGAAAGATGGAGGTGTGGACGGACGTTGTTGGAAGATGACGGGAAGTCCGCGCGCATCTTTAGTGTGGGTGGGTGAAGGCGCACGAGCCGCTTACAAGTCCCTCCCCATTAGGTAAGGCGCTCACCGAAGACACACTTCACCTCACCGACAAGGGGGACTGATGCTTTTTTTCGGGGTAGGTAGGTTCTTGGGCACCTCGCCCAAGGTTAGATTGGCGGGGTTCAAGCCACAACGCGTCCCACCGCGACTCACCGAAACAACTTCCCCTCGATAATTGACCAGAACCTAACGAAACGTCGCTGTACCATGTTAGCGCCGACCAAACTTGACTTTGGTATATAGTACGAAACAGAGCAAACAAGAGACAGCTGGATCATCACAATGGAGCAGGGGCGGGACTCCACGCTGCTGCATTCGCAGCCGGAGTTGTCGCCGTTGGAGGCCGAGGTGCTGGAAGAGTACGAAAAGTTGGCGGATAATATGAAGAAGGTTCGTCCCGTCACACAGCTTTCCTACATTGCATTCAGACTCGGACCTTTCTCCCTTCCCCCCTTCTCCCCTCTGCCCGATCCCAAAGACCTGCAACGCTAACTTGTCCCCCTTTTTTTGTACCGTAGCTTGCTTCAACACTCGAAGACCTGAGCGGCTCGCCGAGCACCGAGATCCTCGACGGCCTGCGGGAGCTGGAGCGCAAGACGAGCTTGGTGTTTACGCTCCTCAAGGCGAGCGTGTACAGTATAGTGCTGCAGCAGGAGATCGATTGGGGTGACCAAGCCAGGAGCCAGGAGGAGGAGGAGGAGTAGAGGAAGACGAATACGTGGGATCACGAGGGTGCAACATCTATATTGAGAGGAGGCATGCTGCAATCCGCGGCGGTTTTGTCTGGATTGTACCGCAAGAGGAAGTTGGAGAGAGTGTACAAATGCACGACGAGACTACGATCAGAGCAGATACCCCCCAAAAAATACACGACGCCAATCACTTTATGACATGAAGATTTGCGTTCACTGTTCACGGGGGCAAGGGGGGCCACCGACGGGGTTCTCTAGAGATTTGCGCTTTTTGTTTGAACATTTACAGTGGTATACAGAAGTGGTATACAGATTAATACACAGATCCGCCGTAGTAGACCTTTCTCACATCGACCATCTTCTTTCCGCGACCAATGGCAATCTCCTCCGGATCAGGTTGGTTCATGAGGGCCTTGTAGACGGCGTTGACGGTGTTGTAAGGGTTCTTGGAGCGGGGGATCTTGGCGGCCAGATCGTGGATACCGGCGAGACGGGCCATTTCGAATATCCTGTGAGAGACGCGGAGTCCGAAGCCTGATTGTGTGTTAGTATAACTGTGTCAAACAAATAACAGAGAACGAGGAACTAGCAGGATTAGAACGTACCTGGGGGACGGGCAAAGAGCTGCACAACAGTTCCCGAGATCTTAGTCTCGACGTTGCCGTAGATGGTGCGGTTCTCGTATCTGCGGATAGGCTTCATGTTGCGGATGGCCAGAAGCGTGGCCGTCGCTGTTGCAATACCGGGGTCCGTCGACTTAGCCTCTCCCAACCCCAGTCTGCCGTCTCCGTTACCGGCTACGACGATGACGGAAGCACTGCGGATCTTGCCCAGACGAGTCTGGTTAGAAACGGATCGAACGACGACTCTCTTGGTGAGAATGGAGAGAATATCGCTAATCTTCATGCCGGTGGCCTGCTTGAGCTTGATGAAGCGACCCGTGGGGTCGAGACCGTCGTCCTCGACGTCTTCCGGAGGTTGGTAGAGTCCCTTGACACCCTCGACCTTGCCGAGCTCAGGGGCGAGCGCCGAAGTGCCCTTGCCGTCGGCTTCCTTCCACAAGGCTACGCGGGAGCGAAGGGGGTTCTCCGAGGTGCTCAGGGAGCCCTCCAGCTCGTTGAAGAATTCCTGGTCAAACTGCTTCAGCCAGTCGTCGGTTGCGATAGACGCCGCCCCGGCCTTCTTCTCCTTCTTCGCCCCAAGCACATCGGCCTCGTTATCGACAAGGAACTTGCGGCGCAACTCGGGGTTGGTCTCGAGCTCGTGCAGCTCCTCCTCGGTGAAGTCGAGCTTCGCGGGGTTCGTCTTTGAGATGTTGCGCAGCGCCCGGGCAAACGCCTTGCCCATGGTGTCCTGCATCTGGCCGCCGACCCTGTCGGCCATCTTCTCAATGTAGTCGTCGATCCACATTCTCCTCGGGAGCCATTTCGGCTCCACGGGCTTCGCAGGCGCTTGGGGTTTCGCATCGATGATGGGCTGGACCGTTGAGAAGTCGTCGATATAGGGCTGCGTGTAAGGATCCGTCCGTAACCGACCCTGGATCACCAAATCTTTCGGGTCAATGGCCTCCTCGGCGGCCTGGAGAGCTTCCCACTGCTCGGGGGTGTACTTCTCCTTCAGAAACTCCTTTTGCTGTTCCGTGTACTCGGGGAAGTGTTGTTTCGCATACTTTTCGATGGCATCAGGGGTCGTCAGACCCATCTTCTCGGCGGTAATATTGTTGAATCGTGACCGCCTCCGACCTGACCTGCTAACGGAGCTGTGGAATAGACGGTAGGGAAGGGCGGCCGGTGCGCTCGAGGCGGAAGAGACGCATCTCGACAAGACGCTCCGCGCCGGGCGTACCGAGTTCATCGCAGCAGAGAGAGGCGACGTCTCTGCGCCAGTTCGTTGCCGGCAGCAAAGGGGTAGAATGAGGTCGTCGGGGAGTGGGTGCAAGTCGCGTGATGAGCTCTGTTGGTCTTCAGCTCAGGGTCGCGCCAGCTAGTCGACAATTTTTTTGGAAAGCTCAATTGGATCGTCTCGCAGTCAATTGCCTTGGACGGATCCAGACCATATCATTGGTCAATAAGCCCGGTCTTCTCCCGCCCGTGGCCCGTGCAATCACGGGCATGACGGCGCGGAGATGTTCCTCGAGTCACATGACCATCATGGCGTGGACGACTTGTGATTGGTGTCATACCGAAAGCTTGCAGCTCACCGAGACTGTACTGAAGTCCAGGGGCTACCTAGCTTACTTAATTCTGGAGTGCACGGTCTCGTTCCGACTCCCGTCTTCATCGTTAGCGACCGGCTGACCTCTGTCAAGCCTATATCGCAAAGCATTTGGACTGGAGTATTATGTTATATGGGTGAGTATCATTTCGAAGGTATCGCGAAGCCAAGACTAAGCTTTCCCGACCGGAAAGAGCGCAAAGATCTCATTTGATGTCGTTGCCAGCTCAACAACCACATGGCTAATCCGATGTGTAAGAATACTTGCCTGTAACAGGACGTCTTTCCCGTGAAGAAGCCCAGGTCCCCTTTTTAGTGCCGAAGTAACCGCTGCAGCTCGTCCCTGCACAGCCAATCACCCGCAGCAGACATCAGTCGACTTTCTGCCGCAGGCCTGAAACGCGCATCGATGCCGCCCCTCCCCTGGCAGCGACCTTCCTCACACATTCAACCACCACGATGCGGCCATGTCGCGTCCTGGTCTCATACCCCCAAGGCGGTCTAGCCTGCGAAAAGGCACACCACGGTGGTGGCATGGCCACCGTAGGGCCACCTCCTCGCCCTTGAAGCGCACCCAATTGTGACGTCTCCCGTTTCGAGAAGCCGAGCGGATCATCTTCCCTACATCTTGGCCCCTACTAACCCTCCTATTCTTTTCCTTTCTCCTTCTGGACTGCTTTTCGCATCTCGTGTTTCCTGCTGTCGAACAAAAACCTTCTAATCCGGTCCCCCAACAATACGTACATTTTTTTTGTTGTTCCCTTGTGACTGGCGCACTTGAGACTCAGACCTTCATTTTTGACTTTCCTGTACACACCTTTAATTCCAACCACCACAGTCCATACCGCCCGTCACAGGTGCCTGAGCAGACTTCGCACCTCTTCAATCAGCCGCCGAAAATAAAAGAGCGGCAAGGCGTAAGACAGCACGATTCTGTGAGCTATCGCGCTTGCACCGCACCCGAACATCGATCAGCTCCGAAAGATTCGAGACCGCAACAATGGGTCAATTCGACTGGTTCCGATCTATTGGCGCGACGCCTGAGGCTGTCGCGGTTCTGAATGACCAGCCCATTCTCTTCACTATCCTCCTGATCGTTCTCGTCGCCGTCATCCTCCAGGGAGTGCTTCTCTGGTACATCCACTTTGCGACATTGAAGCCCGAACAGAAGAAGAAGAAGGAGCCGAAGAAGGGAGGCAAGGGAGGAAAGAAATGAGAGGGATTGCGGCCTGAAAGGCACGCATTTTTTTCGGAAGATTCGTTGCGAAGACAGGCGCTGGGACCTGTATAAAGTGGTGGATCATCAACGCCGTTACGTCGCTGAGGGAGACACAATGCATGCCCAGGCACTAGAGGAAACATCGCGGTGGCGAGCTCTTCTCAGCTGCAACTATGGGGCGAGAGGTTGGATAATGAATTGTATTAAGGCTTCAGAAATGAGTCGGTTTTATGGTCGCGCTTGAGCGGCAGATACCACAGTTTGTGATGCTCGAATGTCACAGGCTGCGTTCGACATCCATTTCTTGCAATATATCTCTTGAAACTCCGTTCCCTGACCCCAGTGTGAACATTGGCGAAATGTCAGCCCCCAGGCTGCCAGTAGGTTTTCGACAGTTGATCTACTCGATTTGATCATCGTAAAGGTCAATTTCGCTTCCGGAGAAGGCTTCGCTTGGCCAGATGTAACCCAAGGGCCTCCGACCGAGTTCAGGTTGTCCGTATATCCCATCATCATCATCATCATCATCATCTGGTTGGCGGTCATGGCTGGTTGGTTGAAACGATAGCTCCGAGAGCGGCCCCTCATCCTCGTCCTCGTCACTTCGCCAATCGCAGTATGATACGAGAGAAATCGACCGTTGCCTTTGGTGGTCATTAGCATGGTGGCCTTCTCCGAAGTCGTTCTCGCCGTTATCAGGGCCGAAGTTCGACCGATCACTGTAACTTGCAGGACCGACCGCGACCAGTTCTCGCAATGAAATAAGAGGTGGCAGTGATGTATCTGCCAAGTTGAAAGCTTGATTCGGCGTATGCGCCTCTGAGTCAGCCTCGCTGTGTGGTTCGGAAGTTCTTACAAAGTACGAGGAGGGTCGTGGTGAGAGTGGTGAGCTATAAGCTTCTAGATGGGTTTCGTAGTCCGAAATATCTTCTGGGTAGCCATCCTCATCGTCGAATGCTTCATGCTCGTGTCTGAGCTCGCTCCGGTCCATGAGTAAGTTCATAGTCAGGGGTGAAGAAGGCAATAGCGGATTCTCGTCAACGGTCCATGAAGGCGGCGTATTCTGGTCAAACTCCATATCGATGTCTGACAACGTCTCTAGGATATCGCGATCCTGATTCACTTCACATCCATCATTAGTCGCAAGGCTGGTTTCTTCATGGAGTGAAGCTTCATCCTCTGACATAGTTCCGTACGCAATCATGGCATCAATGGCCGGTACTGTTGAGTATTCCTCCGGACGCGTCAATCCTCGGAATTGTTGCTGTGAGAATTTAGTCTCTTCGCAAGCGGGTATCTGCGCACGTATAAGCCTCCAAATTAGGTGTCCAAAGTCATTGGATTCATGATTCTGAGCTGTGCTTTGAAGACTGCCTGTGGGGATGCCATGAGATGCGGATGCATAATCTCGTAGTTGACGAGACTCAATGTGATTAAGGTCCTGAAACACAGAGGACAACGCTGGTAGGAGGCGAGACCGACAAGTCAAGGACTTTGTCTCGGTTAGTTCTCGCGTCGGTATCAAGAATGGTCAGACGGACAACCCACCGAAAGATAGTTCATGTTGAAAACCTCGGGCACGAGGCATATAATTGGTGTTCTCGTCGTGCTCAGTGTTCTGATACCGCCAACAGCCCTTCGACCGACAACCAACGTGTCGAGACCAGCTTCTACAAGCCGATGTATGGGAGAAGTGACCTCTCCATCTTGAGGCCTTTGTTTGTCGCATGCAGCGGCAGCATCGCAAGGTAGAAGACATACGCCTGAGTCTTGGCTGTTGAAACGATCGTCGATTTCGTCGGGTGAACCCTATTCCACAGACGAGACGCCCAAACCAAAGCCACTTTCTGAATCAAGGAGAGAGTCATGACTGCTAGTCATTGATGACGTCCTTTGATAGGCTGATTCCATAGGACCTTCGGAGATGGATGATTCCTGATGAACATAGAAGGAGCAGGTCAGATGCTGCATAGTAATGACCGTTGTGTTGGGAGGTAGAGTTGGGTGTAAGACAGCTTCTTTATGCTCAATCTTGAACGATATATGCCGATGGCTGGAAGGACTCTCCACATTGCGCACTATATCGATTCCTAGCTGGGCCCAGATCTGTAACCGATTAGCAAGTGCCAGATATCATCTCATCAATAATGTTGCTTGCCGGATAGCTTGTCATGTCAGCGGCAATGGTGTCCATGAAAACCGCTTGGTCTTCTGCATTGCTTTCCTCCCGGGTGAGCGAGACCAGGAAACAGCAAGTCTGAGCCTTGAGTATAAATAAATCTCCTGCTTGAATCCCAGCGAGCAGCTCGTTGATATTTGAAAATAGTTTTCGGTCTGTCGACGAGCGGAAGGAAACTGTACTCGCGATGTCAAGGACAGTTCCAGTGTTGAGGTCAGACAGAACAACTGGGTCAAGCGATAGAGCAATAGTGGTCATGGTTTGAGGGGAGATGGTACTTCATCGTCGTAGAGGAACACTTTGTTTCGGTGGTTTTGGGAAATGCATTCAATGGAGAGCAACGAGTGTCGTTGAAATCTCAGATGCTCAGGTACAAGGCACCCTGAGGTACCACCTTAGGTCCATTTGGAAGGAAAGATTGTTCATCTCACTTGGGAAGCAACAACGTACCCGCCGGCAGAAAACTTCAGGGCGATACCTGTGAGGACGACCGACCCATCACATTTCACATGGCAACAATGACACTAATTGACTACCTACTTATATGGGGGCAGATGAACCCACAATTCAGGCGTCATTATTGCTGCACTGCGGGTACGGCGTGCATGTACGAATCTATAGCAGCGAAGGAAACGGAGGTATTGCCGTCCTCGAATCTGAGTTGAAATCCGGATAGTGTGATAGCCCAGGTGAGTGGGTGTAGTCAAAGTCTTGGGCTAGATGTTCGGCCGGAAATACCGGTCCGGTCGGATGTTGAAGGACGCAACTTTGGAAGAGGTCGAGATCCGAACCGTTGTCCCCCACATGTCTAGCGTTGTCGCTGGCCGGTAACGCGCATCCTATCAGCGTTGTCGACGATAAGCTACCGACCCCTACGAGTGATGAAAAGAGCGTTGCGCTGGGGAAATAAATGCAGAGCAACGAGCTCTTCAAGTCTTATCAAGATGGCCAGCTGCTGGCGGCGACTACTTTCCAGGCCGGCTTATGTTTTGTTGTCCACTTTGGTACTCTTGAGCGAGCTGAACGCAAAGGAAAATTAGGAGGGAAGAAAAGTTTGACAACTGCTTGATTACGACTCTGCATCTCTGCTGCATTTGTGATAAGGCAGTGACAGCTTCCAGGTGTTGGTTGACCCCACATGATGTGCTGAGACCCCGGTCGTGCTGTGTCATCCGCGGCAGGGTCATATCCGGTTCTCTGGGCAAGTTCTAGCACGTCGTTGCTACCGCCAACTCTCTGTATGACGCAGGCACCACTTTACACTTCACAACCTCTCACTAGGATTTGCCTTACTCACCAAGCCGGGTCATCTCCCGTAACACCAAGAGAAGTCACTCCTAGCATTGACTGTAAAATCTCATTGCGAATAACGAATCCCGGCCAGCTTCCAGCCCATCGTGATTCCAACTGTTGAGCGCGTCATTGTCGGTGTACATCTTCCACGCGACTGCCACCACAAACACCATAACAACTCCGTCTGTTCACGACGGAACAAGCCCAGGGAAAAAAAACTTAACGACACCACTACAGACTGCCTTGGCTGCAGCCCACACGACGACTCGTTGTTCACCCTGGCGCAAGAAAGGAGCTAGGATCTGCGTTTGTGGCCCTGCACCACGACACAACCAGGACGGCATCTGACTATATCCACCCACACGTCTCGTCCACGCCCGGGGCTAATTCTCCCCTCACGCCTCTCCCAACGACACACCTTCACTCAACCCGCACTGCGCGGAACTGCGTTCAAGGACGCCCGCCCGCTTTTGAGCATGCCTCTTTTCGATCTCGGCTCTCTGTTTCTCGACCACGTTGTTTTCATCACCAACCTTGTCTACATGAACATCGCTCTCTCCAATGCTGAACCCAGCCTACTCTTTCCTCTTTACGTTGTGTCAAAGCTACTGGCTCGAGGACCTGAAGATTGGGATTCTCCCACCGCAAAATGGCCCCCACCCATGAAATGGTAGCCAACTGCGGCTACCAGACCCCGGATGAACACAGCAATCGTCCCTCGTACTTTGCTACTCCGAACGAATCTCCTTTGGCATCATTGCCCTTACCTAGATCTCCTTTGAGACGGCCCCCCTTTGTTCCTCGCTCCTCCCATGGACCAGCCTTTGAAACGGAGGATAGCACGGCGATGCCTGCGGCCGAGCGGCAGGCAGAGTCGAATGAGTCTAGTCCAAACAACGCCAAACCTACGCTGGAGAAGCATTTTAGCTTGGGCAAAGTAGGAATTCGAGATCGGATCGCCTGTCATACCTGGACTTGGTTCACTATGGTAATATACCCGCTTCCCTGAACAATGCCGGTGCTAATGATTAGTAGACGATGGTAGGCAGTACGTGACAAACCAGATTCAGAAGATACTGATTCAACGTAGGCAACCGGAGGAATGGCGAATGTGATACACTCTCGTCAGTAAACCGAGTACTACCTTTCGGCGCATATGCTAACTTGGAACAGTCCCCTACCAAGCTGCCTGGCTCAACGGCATAGCCGTAGCATTTTTCCTGCTCAATGTTATCCTCTTCATCATAAACTGTGCCCTCGCCAGTATTCGATTCAAATCCAGACCAGGGGCCCTCACCCATTCATTCACAGACCAGACGGAATCGCTCTTCATTCCTTCTGCTGTTGTCTCGTAAGCCACCTAACCGATTCCGCTGGGGCATCAGCTGAATATCTACAGTTTCGCCATCATATCGATCAACATATGCCAGTTCGGTGTGCCGCATGTAGGGCCCTGGCTCCTTAGAATCATGCAAATTCTGTTCTGGTTCTACATAGCCTTGAGTGTGCTTGCTAGTGCCACTATTTACCTGATTCTTTGGTCGACATTGTGAGCTTCCTCTCAGTCTACGCGAGTAGTTTCGGTCTGCTTAACATTTATCAGGATATTTCCCATTCATACCATGACTCCTACCTGGGTCTTCCCAGCCTACCCTTTGCTCCTCACGGCACCTTTTGCGAGCAACCTTATACAAGCTGCTGTACAAACGAACCAGCAGGTCGTCACTCTCAATAGGACTGCCATCGCTCTCTGTGCAGTCGCTACGCAAGGCGCGGGCTGCTTGATTGCCTTTATGATCTCTGCTGCCTTTATCTATCGGCTGATGACGCAGAAATTACCGCGGGATTTTCAACGTCCTGGTGTGGTGCGTAATTGTTCCTGGTACAAACGTGAACCGGTGACGCTGACCAAATCAGTTCATTTCTATTGGGCCATTTGCCTTCACGGTCGGAGGCTTAGGTAGGGTTTCCCTTATTGCTACGGTTGGATGCCCGACTAAATGCTCCAGTTCAACTCGGCAATTCCGCAGACAAAATTCTGCCCAGCAATTTCCTGGGCACCGACCTTGCCGTGCCCATCATCAAAGTCATGTCAGTCTTGATCGGGCTATGGCTCTGGGGTCTGAGCATGTGGTTTTTTATCGTCTCCGTAGGATCACTTTGGAAGTATGTGCGGCCAGAGAGCAAGATGCCTTTCCAAATGACATGGTGGTCATTTGTCTTCCCGAACACTGCACTTGTTACGGCCACGACCGCGCTTGGCAAGGCTTTGCAGAATAACGGATTGCAGATATTTGGCTGCGTCTTCGCAGCGTGTCTGATAGTCATATGGTTTATTGTATTTGTAACGATGATTCGGTGTTTGTACAAACGGGAGCTCCTATGGCCAAAAGATACCCAATAGTGGACGTATTAGAGGTCTACTTCTGCAATGCAATCGAATAAACAAAAGAAAAGAAAAGTTGACTGTAGCATGACATTTCGTGGCATGATCTTGTTTACTCGATGAGTTATTCCTTGAGACGTGAAATAAATCGGAGCCAGACGTTGAAGGTACCGATTCTCGGGCAAGGGAGAGCAGCAGCGGGTGAAAGTGGGGCTAGCTACCCGCCCAACCTCTCACCACTAAACTCAGTGCATGGATTCATCCATTCGGATGAGACTTGTCCTCAGCGAGTCAACATTTCGGGACGACACGCCCGATATTTCATCTCTTTAATTTCCGGCATCGAACGCCCACAGGAAACATGTCGTGGGACTCTAAATCGGCGTTACATCGCCGACAGAGCAGCAATGCTGGCGCCACCAAAACTCTACCTATTCACACTCGCGAACAGTCGGAAGCAACAATCCAACCCAAATCAAGCCATGTAGCAGACGATTTCCTGCAGAGCTTCCTGGATCCTTCTTTTGACCCAGCGGCATATCTGAATGCTACTCTGCCACCGCTTCAACATGGTGGCTACCACTCATCACGAAGCAATGGCAACGGTCAGGCCGTCCCGCTGGCCGACTTGTCTAACGAGGCGCAAACGCTGCTGTCCCAGCTCAACATCCACACGACGAGGCTTTCCGGCACGTTGACCCAGTTGACGGATGACATCCTCCGGAGCGGCAGCCGACTCGCCTACGAAGTCGAGCTCCTCCGAGGTGAGACCCTGAGTCTTGCTGAGACGATGAATGAGACGCTGCAGGAGGACATCAAGAAGTTCGCGCCGAGTGGTGTGGATCAGGAGGCCAAGGGAACGGTACCGAAGGCCGCGGACGGGCAAGAAAGGAGAGAATCCGTGGGCGCCAGCAAGGCCGGCGACGACGAAGCTACGGCCACGGAGGGCAAGGCGGAAACCTCAGAACCACCCTACATCAACCAGCTACGGACGCTGACGGTGGTCCGCTCCCGCCTCGACACCGTCATCAAGACCTTTGGAGACGCCATGGAATTCGTCTTCCCGCCGTCGGAGCTCTCGGTCAGCTCGTCCTTCCTCTCGGTCTCGGCGCCCGACCCGGGAGCGGAGCAGCATAGCACGGAGGAGAAGGGCCAGCAGGTGCTGCAGGGTCTGCGGGATGAGATCTCGCAGCTGCTGACCAAGTCGGAGGACCCCGTCAAGGGTATCGAGAAGGCGGCGCAGCGGATCGAGGAGCTCAAGGAGCTTAACAAGGTCTGGAAGGGCACGGCGGAGGAGAAGGGCAGGACAAAGTTCATTGAGAGTCTGGCCAAGATGGTGGAGGACCGGCATCGGGATCTCATGAGGGAGGTTGATCAAGCGAGCAGGAGGGATGGGAATGAGGGGCGGGCGAGGAAGGGGAGTGTTCATGCTGATGCCGCGGAGACCAAGACGTATCTCGGGGGTTACGGCTTGATGAGCCAGCTTCAGAAACTTAGAAACGGGTTGTAAATATTATGATCGATGAGGCCGGGCATCTCATGGAGCTTTGCATGCAAGCGGTAAAGCACTGGATCCTGAGCTTCTAGGCGATAGTGAGAGCTCATGACCTATAACCTCATGAAGGTGAAGATGGTGGAATACAATACAGAATGAGAGATTTAATCTTTCATTTTGTCCTATCTCGATTTATCTTACATCCGTTGAAATCGAAGTCTTCCCTGGTTAGGTATACCTTACATCTAAGAGTGTTCGTCTCATCAGTCTTTTAGGTGGAGGTTGTACCTTGCGAGCTGGAAGTCTTAGGGGGTTCGGCCTAAAATCGGCATGCGCTGAATTGCAGCTGGCAGGCCACCTCTGCTTGTTTTTTCATCCCTTCCACACACTGAGTGCCCTGGCCCCTGCGGAAGTCATCGGGCAACCCCGTCCAATAAGAAAAATTCACCCCTCCAGCGGTCAGGTACAGAACTCGGAGGCGCATGCGGTCACTTAGCGGAAAGGCTGACAAGGCAAGCACACACTGCACAGGACCATCTCGTTCCGCAGTACCCTCACCTTCCTCCGATTCTACGTTCTCCCACACAAACACCCCAGCAAGAGCTACCACCTCGAATGGGCGGCTGAATGATATCCTCCATATTCGAGAGTCGTGAATTAGAGGCACCTTCTCTGTCGAATCGACTTCCGAATCCTTTTCCTTCAAACTCCTCTTCCAGCGAACTTCGTCTTGCTTGAGCTCCGGTTTGCGACGGTCGCCCTACACAAATCCAGACCGTACCATCCTCTCCAGGTACAACAACGCTACTCCCCTTGAACAAACGAATTGATTATATTTCCAAACGGCCAATACACGAAGCTATCCATCATCACTATAATGGCAGCCAACGAAGCAGCCATCCCCAATTTGGGGGGTGTTTCCGCTCAACCAAAGGCCGGCCGAGCCTCTCCGGCGCCCCAATCGAAGCGCGACCGCAAGCGCCAGGCACTTGTCGACAAGATCGCCAACCTGCAAGAGAAATTCAGTCGGGATCGTGACCTTGGGTACCGCGATCAGCTTCAGAAGGTCCAGGTTGACACCAACCTCGTACAGCGCATCGACCCCTACGCCGACGATGTCCTGAACATCATTGCCAGTCTGCGACAGGAACATGAAGAGACGCAAGGACAAGAGGCGCTTTCCGACAGCAACCGCACTCTGCTCCAGATGGCGGGCCCCAACTTTGAGGACTTTGTCCAAGGCATTGAGGATCTTGTTGAATACAGAGACTTTCATTTGCTTCAGCACATGGTAAGTGTGGCCGACTTTTCCCTGTCCTCACGTCGGCAAAGCTAATGAATGCATACAACAGCACGAGCATGAGCGTCGCCTCCACCAATACAAGAACGAATACCTCTACAAGGTCGAAACTGCTAAGCGCGAGCACCAAGCCCTTTCTTCAACACTCCGCGATAGACTCGTTAATACCCTGCTGTCAAGGAAGTACCGCCTGAACAAGGAGAAGGAAGCCTTGGAGATCTCAGATTCCTCTGCGCTGCTGCTCCACCCCAACCAGTTCAGCATCACCAACCCGGCAAGCCCCGGTGGCACTCACGGAAAACGCGCGACGAGATTACGCAAGGACGCCGAAGAGCTTGCCAGCTATGCTGACAGCAAGAAGCGCAAGAGGCACCCCGGCGAAGACGACGGCTCCCCCGTTCCGTCCCGACGAGCGCTCGACCCCAACAACACAACACCTCTCTGGCAGAACGAGAAGCTTCGAGTCGCCGCGAAACAAAATGGCCCAGCCTACAGCATTGATAAGCTCTTTACTGAGAAGGAACTCAGCATGGCCTACAACGCCGCAGCCGTTGCTTCCCACAAGCATATCCTTAGACACAAGCCCTATGCGAACGGGGGCTCATCCCCGGGCAGCGACTCTGGCAACGGCGATGAAAACGGTGAACACGACAGCGAGGCCCTGTCCGCTCCGACGATGGAACGCACCAGCTCCCATGCCACTCGAAGCACGAGGGCCGGCATCAATCAGAACCTGATCGATGCCGTCGAGGGAGCCAATGGCTTGGAATTGCCCAAGTACCTCGAAATCATGCAGCCACACGAACCTGCCAAACTGCCGTCGGTCTCTGTGACGAACTACTTCAAGCCGGTCAGAGGTAATACTGACGGCAACCTGCCGCAACCGCTGTCGCACGACGAGATCAATTCCGACATAATGGTCATGGACATGTTCAAGAAGTACGACTACAACCACAAGCCCGGCGACTCCATCGACCATCCCAATGGCAGCAGGAGGATCTTGGAAGCGTCCATTACGCCTTATACCATGACTCCGTACACAGGATTCAAGCCAGGCCCTCGTCCGGATCCAACAAAACTTCGTGAGGATTTGATGCCAATCGAGAGCAGCATTAGAGACGAGGCTCCCCCATCGTCCCTCGCGGCCATTGCAGCCGTCCCCATGAGCCGTACCAGCAGTGCAACCGGCGGCGCAGCGATGAGCCGACAGGGAAGTGCGCGCGGCAAGGGTCGTAAGAACCAGAACCAGTGATGACGTACGAGCAGTTGAATGGTGTTTCGGCGTTTGGGAAACAAAATGGTTTTGATCCAGGCAAAGGATATTTGGTAGGAGTGTATTCGAACGACTTTTGGGGGTAATCATCAACTCCATCGAATGCGGTCAAACTCCACAGCATTGAGCAAGCTTTCATCTCTTTTCTCTCTTTTTCTTTTCATGATGAAGGGGTGCATCTAGTGAACAATACATCGAACCACAGCAAAGGTTGGCATATATGATGTCGCAGAGGGGTGGTGCAACAACGGATAGACGATAGTCTCGTCCATATTTATAGGGGTGTGGCACGGCATTGATACCCCGATGCTCATAGTTGAAAATATTCATATTATCATTGACTCATCAAGTACAACTCAAATCAGCTCCAGATCAGTTTATCTCTAAGGACCAAACACCAGCGCCCGTACTTCGATGCTCTCACGGCCTACAGCATCAGCCCTCGTCCTCGGATCTTCGAAAGCAGTGTGAGCCACGCGACCTCCCTCGACACCGGTGCCGTCCCGGAGACCCTCGCTGTCAAAGCACTCGAGCAGCAGCCGCTCGTCTCCCGTCATGCCGCTCAGGTAGTACCACTTTTGCTCCGGGCTGAACTTGATACCCGCCGTCTCACCGGTGTAGCCCGTGGTATACCGGTGCTCGATGGGTACGATGTCCTCATCGGCCAGCGTCGAGGAGGACGCGAAGCCCAGGGGAAAGGACTCGACGGGCGTCTTGTTGAGCGGGCGCCAGACGTTGATGATGCGGTACCGGCCCGCGAGGAGCTTGTCTGCTTCTTCTTCGGGGAGGTGCTTTTTCACGCGCTGGACGACGGAGGACGGGGTCTGGTCTATGTGCACGCGGGTGACTGGGTTCCGCGGGGCCTTGGGGTCGGCGCGGCGGATGGTGTGGTCGAAGAAGAGGACGCGGGTGCTTCCCGGGACGTGTTCCAGGAGGAGCTTCTCGAGTTCCGGGTAGTAGTTTTCTTTGACGGATTCGTCGTCTGTGAAGTCTTTCTCTGCGGAGGGCGGGAGGTTGCGGATCACGGCGAAGGCGTCGCGGTCCAGGGAGAATTCCGATTCGCGGCCACGGATGTCGTTGAGGACGGTTTCTGTGGGAGCGTCGCCATAGTTTCTGGAGGGGGGACCGTCTGGGTTGATGAGGTTGTAGGGGGACGCGTTGTCGGCGGGAGCGGCGAAGAAGTTCAGGGTTGCGCGGACTTGGCCGCGGGGGACTCTGTCGATTGCCATTGGGAGATGAGGTCTGGGTTTGTGGTGCACGATGATATCTAGAGCTTTATGCTGAAGGTTGTAAATGAGTTTTGATCTTTGTAATTCACGTTGAGCCGTTGATGAGCGTGGCGATGAGATGATGTTAGTGGGATCAGTGATATTTTGAAATATTTCCTTCTCCTAGCAGCAACCTTTTCTTTCTTTATATACTGAAACACTTGGATGCTGTATTTCAAAGCATGATGATAAATGAAGCCATTCAAAGCACCGAATATGGGCCTATGCTTGTGAGAGAGCAATCACGTCATTTGGAGTCGATTGGCCTGAAGAGCCTCGGTGCGGAGGTGATTGGGTCAATGGGATTAGATTAGTCAGGTTGGAGACGATGCGTGGCATCTCTGGAGGTTTTCGGGTTCTTGGGGTCTACTGTGGTCGGTTCCCGGTTTCCGGGGTTTGTACATAGAGGAGGACAAGGCATGGTGGGCATTAGTCAAGGGCGTAGGTCAAAAAAGGCTTGGAATTACGCCTCGTTTGATTGAATGTGATCGACGGGCCTGCCTACTTAGGTGGGATACCGTACTCCGTACTTCGCACTATCGTAGACAAAGACAATTGAGGGTGTGAAGGATATATTTCTTTTGCGAATGTAATTGTCTGCCTGAGCAGCCACCCTTCCTTCGTTCTTGTCTTTAGCCATTCAACCGTTGATCCAGAGACGTACATCAACGCACATTAACACAATGAAAAGACGAGCGCTAGAACACCTATACAGTTGGCCTAGGTATCTGTGTCTCTCCTGACTTCCGTATGGAAGTTGTTATTAGTGGTTCGTGAAGATGTTTTAAAGTTCGGTCTTTGACAGACAGCCTTAATTTTTTCAAACGGCAAGATCAGATCGGAATGCCGAGAGCAGCCGGCAGAAAGTGTAAAAGGCATTTCCTGCAGTTTTACTGCTTTGGGGGCCAGTGACTAAGCGGGAGGCGATCTGGGGAAGCTGGTCAATGATGACATTGCACAGTGTCCAACTCGCCGTGTTTGAGACAGTTTCAACACGGCCGCAATTGCCGTTCCCCCTAACCACACCTTGCCACAGCACCACAGTCACCTACCAGCCTAGGTACTGCCACCAAGCTCCATCTTCAGCTCGATCCCTCTCGGGGGATTCCTTCCCAGCTTCCGGATGGCCCTAAGCGCAATGGCGCACCTGGTTGCAGCGACCCTGGCTGCAGCAAGACCTCGCTTCTACGGTTCTACCACCCAGGGCCTCCTCTCCCACTCCTACCTACCTTACTGCGTACCTAGACCTCTACACTAGTCTCTGGTCCCCCAGTGGTGGTGGCCCCCTTTGACTGGCATTAGGACTGCTCAATGCTCTGGTGGTGACAAAGGCTAATTTTAGCACGTCCCTCTCTCTCCTTTGCCCGTCCATCGCTCTCTCGCTAGGGCCCTAAATTAACCCCGACTTTACCAGCTCGATTCGATTCAATGTTTAGATTGACCCAAGCTTTCCTCTCATCTCGAAAAAGAGCCGTTTGGATCTGACTGTCCGTCACCTAAGTAGATGAGACCGTGAGCTACGGGACGGATTGCATCGGTTTTACCCGCCCCCCATCTTCTCCCGGGCCATTCAGCCTCCATCACCTGCTCTTGTCTCGAGAACAGACAGAAAGACGCATCTGGGACACTCTCTGCCCCCCTCGTTGAGCTGGCTCGGTGGTGATGCTGCGCTCACGATACTCATACACTTCGTCGCGTCGTCGTTAGGCTTTGACGCTGTCAACTCGTATCGCGCGTGCTGTCAATGCGCGGCCCAACTCTCGCCTCGTCGGTGATGATGTCCAATATCCCGGATTACTCAACACCGACTCATGCGCGATGATATCCCCGCAACCGACGATGCAGCAGCACCAACCGCAGTCGCTCCCGCCGCCGCTGCCACCGCCGCCGTCCGCGGTGCCCAACGGCATGCATGGGCAATCCCCGTCGCCTTCAATGAGGCATCAGCACATGGCCGCCCCACGGTCGTCGACTTCGTCAATCTCGAGCAGCAGGCTCACCCTCCCGGACAGGAACGTGACGGCGGACACCATTGAGGATGCCTACACCCACTTCGTCATGTCCTGCAACCCGGCCGTCCCGCCCGACACGGACACGGCGGCGCTGCGGGAAGCTTTCCGGGTCCCGCCCAAGAGCGGCGGCAAGAGCTTCAGCACTTTCACCCTTTTCGAGCTCATCAAGCAGTTGGAGACCAAGGAGATCAAGACGTGGGCAGAGTTGGCTCTCAAGTTGGGCGTCGAACCCCCTGATCAGGACAAGGGTCAGAGTTCTCAAAAGATTCAGCAGTATGCCGTCCGGCTCAAGGTATGTTCCTGTGCATGGTTCAATGAATCGCGCAATAGGCTGACTCTCACAGCGCTGGATGCATTCTATGCATGTGGATGCCTTCTTTGAGTATCTGATGGATCACCCTCACCCTTACTGGACAGAGATCCCAAATGACCCAACGCCAGTGTGTGAAGCGGGAAGGGATGGTGTGCTAGCAGAAGACGACATGGCTCTCCGAGCACTTTTACCACAGATTCGGCCCAGGCGGGGGAGGAAAAGGCCAGAAGACGACGAATTCGCAAAGTCCCCTTCACAACGAGCGAGATTGGACTCGCCGCCGACGGGGACGGCCTACACCGCCGCCCGGCCAGAGACTCTGGGTCCGTGGTCCGCTCATCCCGATGGACGCGCTACGTTCGGCTGCTCTGATCATTTGAAGTTGAGCGCCAACACGGGATCAGTGACGGGCTGGCCTCCGGCCCCTGACACAGCGCAGACGCCGCTCACGGCGTATCCACAGGGCCCGATGTCTGCGCTCACGCCGTCAACGCGCAACAGCGGGTTCTGGGGTGATGCGGAACCAAGGTCGGCTATTACTCCCTCACGACCAAAGGCATCTCACCGGCGACACGGTGCCAAAGTCGTTTCCTCTGCGTGGAGGAGTGGCGGACCAGGAGGCAGCGGCAAGACTCGGGGGAGACCGCCTATGAACAAAACGAATGTCGATGGCCCATTTGTGGCTTTCCCCGCCGAAGGACCGGCGTACAAGCGGCCAAGTCCCGATACCAAGATTGAGCCGGGCCCGATTACACCCCCGGCGCCAATACCCCAGACCGCATCGGTACCACCAGTCGCAGTCACGGAATTACCTACACCGCCGCATATACCGCGGCCGGCCAAGCCGAGTATCTCACTACAGGTTCCGGAACGTCAAGGAGGATCCGTTCGTCTCGCGACGCCGCCGCCTCCACCGATCGTGATCGTCAACGGAGAACCCCCGGGCGAAGTACCCGACATAATAAACTCGACAGCCACAGCACCACCATTGGAATTCCCGCCCGGTCACAACGTGCCCCTCCCCCCCGGTGCCATACCACCAGTAGACCTGAAAGCGCAGACCGTCCTGCCGGTCGACCCGCCGCCAGCCGCGAAAGGCAGTGGCATACCACCGCAACCCAACGACATCCCCATCGGCATGTTCGAGAACATGAAGGACCGGACCAACATCGACGCCGTCCTGGGTTATTTCGCGCACGAGACGGCTAACGGCGACTGGGTGGACGCGGACAACAACCCTATCGAGAACTGCAGCATCGCCGAGGCCTACGCGCTCGTGCACACCACTGTAGAAAGGATGTGGCAGACGGCGCCGAACCAGGACGCCTTTTTGATTAATCTCGCGGCGCTGGCGGGCGGCAGGGCGCTCATGACGACGAGCAAGCTGCGGGTGAAGCGGGAGGAGGAGTATGAGGATCGCGCGACGTACAGCTGCAGCTGGGAGTTCCGGTTGGGGACGATACGGGGCAACTACAACATGGTGCAGACGGTTATGTACAACCGGTGGCGGCGGCCCGAGGAGAAGCTGGAGAAGCCGAATATGAAGGGCACGGGCGGCGCCGAGTCGGAGTGGGAGAGGAAGTACCGGGATTTGTTGGCGCTGTCGGAGAAGAGGGATAAGGAGATTCAGGCGATGCGGGCTGGGCTTACGGCGAAGCTGAATGAGACGTTTCAGGATGCCAAGGATCTTGAGAATAAGTGAGGGAAGTACGGGGTTTGTAATCATATGTATCCGAGAGAATTGCCGACATGGGGAATATGATCAGGGGAAGGGGAAGCATACGGCGCACGGAGAACGTCATGTGGATGGCGTGGAATATCCAGGATTTAGGGGCGTCTTTCAGAAGAAAGACGGGCAAAGGGGGGACGGTGTTGATATCATGCGGATGGCGTAATAATCGAAAGCGAAAGCATAGTGCTGGCGCAGGGTCATGGGAGAGCGTATATCAGGGATTGGGCTGGGTGTTTAGGCGGAGGGGGCAGAAATACCAAGTGAAAAGCAATGCTACAGTCACCTTGATGAATATCCGTCAAACACTCATCACACGCTCAGGTCCACTACAAAATCCAGTGAATATCCAAGCTAAGACTTGAAGATAAGCTTCTATTCGAGTTCATTCCAATGTGGACTGAGAAGGAAGAGTGGAGGAGGGAAGGGGGCTTACTAAGGTCCTCCAGATCAGAGGTCCAGAGCTATCAGCCAATGATATGCAAATCACTCAACTACAACAAACCTCACTCACTGACTGTCGATTCGACGATTGCTTCCTCCTACTTACTCAATCAGTCAATTCTCATAGACTCTTCAGAATGCTCATCAAGGAGTCTTACGTAGACGTGCCGACCAAGGCCGACGGCAAGGATGGTTCCATGAGTGCGTGCCAACCGACCTCGTAATAATGGTACTCGAAAGCTAACAATGGTAACAGGAATCTTCCTCTTCCACCCTTCCATTCCAGGCTATCCCCAGGCGTAAGTGATCTTGATTCAAAAATCAGATTGAGAATCCCCAACTCACATATGCTGCAGCAAGTTCCCCGGTGTCTGCCTCTTCTCTGAAATCTACCAAGGTCAGTCAGATCATGCCTCTTCTCCATGGCGGCGGCGGGGTCTACCCAAAAAAGCTGCCCTTTCCCCCGCACTGGGGGGTGCTCGACCCCTCCACCCCACCCTCACCGATCCTACACCGAGTTCACCGAGTTGTTGACGAAGTACTTTGACTTCGCTTCACTTTATGTCTTCGACTGTTATTGGCTTGCCATACAACATAATCCCATTTCAGACTTGAATCGCATGCGAATTATACATAAACTCCGTCTTCTCGTGAAAATAAACTAACAAGTCGACAGTGACCGGCCCCGTCGCCCGCTTCGCTCGCCAGATCGCAGGACAGGGCTACATCGTCGCCGCGCCCTCGTCCTACCACGACTTCACCGGCCCAGAGGCCCTGGCCTACGATGTTCCCGGCACCGACAAGGGTAACGCCTGGAAGGTTGAGAAGGTACGCCCTCATCTTCGCTAGCCTTCTTATCTCTACATAGGTAGACCTCACAAAGGAATATTTTGGCTGACCATCTCCAACGCTGATATCAAGACCCTCGAGTCCTACGACGAAGACTCCCGCCGCACCGTAGACCACCTCCTCACCCTCCCAACCTGCACCGGCAAAATCGGCAGCACGGGAATGTGCCTAGGCGGCCACCTCGCCGTCAGAGCCTCCGTACGTCTCTCGCCTCCTTTCCCCTTCCATGCCCCTCTCTCACCCCCGCTCCTCCTCAACCTCTCCCTCCACCTCCAAACTCCCACCTCTCACCAGAAACCCACTCACAATCCTCACCAAACTAACCTCACCACCAGCTCGATCCCCGAATCACCTCCTGCGTGGCCTACTTCGCAACAGACATCCACACCCGCACCCTAGGCCCCCACACCTCCGCAAACTCCTCCCCAACAGCCCCCGAAAACAGCACCCACACCCTAGACCTCTTCGCCACAAACCTCACCCACGCAGAGGTGGCCATGATCTTCGGCGTGAAAGACACCCACGTCCCCGCGGAAGGCCGCGATCTCATCCGCGCTAAGCTCCGCAAGGCAGGCGTCACGACGAGCTTCTACGAGTTCGCGTGGGCCCAGCACGCCTTTATCCGCGACGAGTTGAGCAAGGGACGGTATGACCCCGCTATTACAAAGGTCTGCTTTGAGATTCTGCTAGAGTTGTTTGGGAGGACGCTAAAGCTGGATTTGGGCCCCTTGGAGGGCGTTGGCGAGGTTGAGCACGTTTGCTAGGTACTAAAGTAAACAAGTGTTGACGACCTAGGAAAAAGTTCTTCATAAAAGGAGAGGCAAGCCAAGCATTGTTAAGAGGAATAGTATTTATCTGCGGACGACATGTCATCATACTCTATTCGTAATCTATCTGTTCCCCATGTGAAGTTTGTGTAAGGAAATTCATTAGGCATGGGGAAGCCAGTCTCAATGCCCACGTAAAAGAAAACGCCCGGGTTTTTGTGTCAGACAATTGACCGGCTGGTATTAATCTTTCTCCATTTTTTTTTTTTTTGCTGCTTCTCCTTCTTTTACTTTGTTATTCTTTTCGTGCCATTCTTAGCATCTCCCTTTACTGCTTCTTTGAAGTGCTCGGCTGAACCTCCTGCTGGGTGCTGGATACACTGCGTCCACGAGGACGCTGACCCGATGGGGCGCTCTGGAGTGGGTGGGGGGTAAGGTTGGTGTTGTGGGGCGGCGAGATGGTGGGAGACAGAGACTGTCCGTAGGCGCCGGAGTAACCGGTTGATTGGGCGCCGTAGTAGGGAGAGTTGTAGGATCCTTGAACACCCGTCTCTGCCTCCTCGTCGTAAATTCGGTTGCGAGACATCGTCTGAGTCAGACCGAGGCCGGTTCCATCACCGACGGGGGACATAGGGATGCCTTCGCCGGGCTTGCGACGGCCACCACCGCCCTTGGTGCTGGCGCGCTTCATCAGCTGACTGCGGACGCGGTCGATATCGTTGGAGCGGCGGCGATCTTCCTTGGAAGACAAAGTGTCATCATCGCCTACCCGGTAGCCCCATTCCTCTTCGACCATAGGGTCACGCAGGTTGAGTTCAGCTGCGGCAGCCTTCTCAGTCTTAGAGTCGGGGTTGCCGTCAGTTCCTTCGGCGGCGGGAGAGGGCACCAAACGCGCGGCCTCCTTATCCTTGGCAGCCTTGTCACGGGCTGACGCAGCGAAGGAGTCGGTGACGGCGACGGAGTAAGATGGGTTGCCAGGAGCACCAAGGGCCTCGCTACCACCACCAGGGGCATAAATGGGGATCTTCTTCAGAGCCATGGCCAGGGCGCACATGAACTTGGAGCGGCGAGTAGCGCGAACGCCATCGTTGTGCCAGTTGGACTTGTGCTTGATCGCGATCTTAAGCTGAAGCTTGTCCAAATCACCGACGCCGGCAACACCAATAGCGATATCGGGCATGAAGTCGCGGGAGTTGTCGGAGTTGCGAACAAAGTTCTCCATCTCGACACGGAGGAGCTCGAGGTCCTCGAAGCTGGTGTCGTATGAGACGTTCAAGTCGATGACCTCCTTCATGGCCTTGCTACGGGAGACGTTCTCGATCCAAAGGTTGTTGAGAGCGATGTTGGGAACCTGGACGACCTGCATCTTGTCGATACGGGTGAAGACGGTGTACAGAAGCGAAATCTTGTCCACGATGAGTTGCTGCTTCTCGGAACCAACAATATCGACTCTGTCACCAACGTCGTAGGGGTGCTTGACGAAGAGGAAGATGCAGGAACCAAGGAATTCCTGGGTAGTAACGGCGAAGACGAATGACAGAGAAAGAAGCGCAGTACCAGCAGTGGCGACGGTCTAAAGTGGTCAGCAACGTTCACAGAAGAGTAAAAGAGGAAGGAGCTTACGGTCAAGAAGCTGGACTGGAACCACGCGAGGAAGATGAAGACGACGATCAAGACGACAACGAACATGAGAACCTTATCAAACACGCGGAGTGCCTGACCAATGTCCTTCATTCCCTCGGTAATAGCCTTACGTTCCTTGCCAATCTCGACAACCTTGCGAGTCATCTCTTCCAAGCTGATATCGCCGTTCATGTCGTTATCGATCATACCGAAAGCCTCGTCGGCCTCATCAGAGTAAGCGGGTCCAAGCACTTCCAGGAAGTCTTCGGGGTACAGCGAGTCCTTTCCTTCGACCACAAAAGACATCCAGATACGGCGGGCGAGAGCCTCAGAAGGCTTGTGCTTCTCGAGGGCTTCAATAACAATGGAGTGCGCCGAGTTGGGGTTGAAGACCTGCTTTCCAGTGATTTCCGAGGCAATGTTACCGAAGACACCGGTGATCTTGTCTCCTACACGGCCAATATCGCCGACAAGGCGAAGGGGCGTAGCGCTACCATTACCGCCCTTGCCACCCTTCGCAGCCTTGGCTAAGATCAAATCGAGACTATCGTTGATCACATAGTCCTCGTCCTCGAACTCGGGACAGTACATAGGGAAAAGGGTGCGGGAAGCGTCGTAGAGGAGACCAAGCAAGCGAACCTCGCGCTTGGACTCCTTGATGCGGAGAGCAAATGATCTCTGGTGGTAAGAGATACCGATGAGCTGAACAATGGCCTTCTCGCCAAGGTATACGGCTGAAGACACAAATGTGGCACCAAGAAGACGAATCATGGTGGTAACCCAGGAAGATTGGTTGTCGGACTTGAAGAGGGCCTGGAATGATTGCCATGATGCCAGAGCCCAGAAGAAGAGTGAAAGGGCAATCTGCAAGTTCTGCAGAACAGTGGCGTATTTGCGCGTACCGGAACTGACAACTCCGCAGAAGAACATGAAGGCGTGAGGCAAGAGCCAGGCGACAACCTTGCCAGCCCAGAGAGTCAACCAGGCGATCTCAATCCACAAGAAGAGGAAAAACAGCGATTTCTCGTTGTTGTTGCCAATCGTGACATCGTCTTTGTGACCCGTAATGGGGAGAACGATGAGTGGTATCGCGAGTAGAAGGCCGATAGGAATGATGTAAACCAGGTAGCGAGTAACGACAGACGCGCTGGTGATCTTGGTGTAGAAGCGACCCATGGCGTTCATCTTGACCTCGTCCGAGCCAGCAGTTCCGTGGCGGCCAAGCTCTGCCTTCTTCTTGCGGCGTCCGCCCTTGGCATTGGGGCGGTGGAAAAGGCCATGCTTCTCGTTTGTGCCAGAGGAGCCAGAGTCCTCGTTGGAAGCGTTCATCGTGGGCTTCCTTGCGCCAGTAGAGGCGGCGCTCCTGACCTGGGTCAGGGGGATATCGCCGTCAGGCATGTCGTTCGACTGTGTGTTGTTTATAGGCAGGAATCCCGAATGCCGCGGCGAGAGAGGTCCTGGCATGCCGAAATAGCGAAGGAGCTCTTAAGGTGTGTCGTATCTAGTCGAGGGAGGAGGAGGAATGTTGGTATAAAACGGTAATTGGTGATTGTTGTACAGACCACTTGCTGTATAGTTGCAGTCTATTAATGCGCAGACGGAGCGGATGTCGAATCCAGCTCTTGTAGGAAACCAATCGAGGCGTCGTGTGAGGCTCGAGAGGAAAGTGAGAAAAAGGTTGAGAACCAAGAGTAACGACTGGGTCTGGTTCTACAAGAGGTGAGCGCGCGTGTATGTTCTGTGTTATCCTCGTGTGTGGCGACAACCCAATTCCCAAAAGCGAAGGTAATTACAAGGAAAAGGGTATCTTTAGAGGAGGATGGTAGGACGGGATAGGATAGGTAGGGAAGAGAGGGCGGGGAGGAGGAGAAAAGAGAGAGCGAGCGAGTGAGAGTGAATGGAGAGGTCGAAACGAGCGGGAGTCTAGATGAAAAAGAAGGCGAGGAGGGGAAGAAGCTCAGGGTTTAAGCGAAAGACGAGCCAAAAATGGCAGAGAGAATGACGGCAAGGTTCTGTTCTAGTTAGGGAAACAGGATGGAGACGTGGGATGGTAAGGTGCGGTTAGCAGGTTGACGATCATCAAAGTGCAAGGCGACACGGCAAGCACGAGCAAGGCACTTAGAGGCAGGGCAAGCGGAAAGCCGCAAAGACAGGACGAAAGGGGGCCGCCGCCGCTAGACGCGTTAGTGGGAGGGACGGCTGTCTTGGAGCGTGCATCTTGGCGGGACCCCTGAGCGGGTTTTTTTTTTTCTTCCTTCTGTGCTGAGCCGGGGCACCCCCCTTCTGGTGCATCTAGTTTTTTTCTTTCTTTTGCTTTTTTCCCTTCTGGTTCTGGGCCAATCTCTGGCAAGGTAGGTACCTTGAGTTCGTGCTCTGAATTTCTGCACAGTGGACGAGAGCCTGGACAGCCAGAGGCCCAGAGCAGACAGCCAGATCAAGCAGAAAACGGGCCAGAAATCTCAAAGTGGCCGGCTTTCTGCTGCAGGACGGGCTGGCAGCTTTGATGCAGGGGACAAGCCACTGACAGGCGAGTTTCAGAAGTTCTCGGGTCGATTGCTGGGATTGGCCGGTACCCAGGACTGGTGGTTCCCGATTCTTGGTTGGTGGATGGTCTGTGATATCCACTTACGGATACTTCAGTACCTAGGTATCCCCGTATCTACCTGGTGGACTAGAGCAGGGTAGGCAGAGATACGTACCTCAGCTGGGTGGAGGTGCCTCTTCTCAGGTGGGCCTTGATGATGCCGTGCTCGCCGGTGGACTTCTTGGTTTTTTTCTACGCATCTATTTTACTTCTGCTATGGAATGCCGCGCGATTGGGGTGTCACTGGGACGCGGTACTTGGCAAGTTACAGGGACATTACGACATATGAATATTGTTGTTATGGACGTTGGTCATAAACCGTGAATGTATGTATGTGCCTTGCAGCCTGCAGGAAGACACTGCCCGCCAAGGTCGAGGGACGCGTTCGGTATTGCTCCTTTCCGTCTGGGATGCATATCATGACATATCCGAAGTTTTGACACTCGCACAGAGCTTGCTTACATACGGAGCACATAGTACACACGTTTGTAGTCGTACCTATGTGATTGTGAGGATGTGTGTGCTATCAAAAGGTTGCACTGAGAGTTCTCTAGTGCACTTCAAGGTTCCTCAAGTTGATTGTCCGAGTGCCGCACATCAGACGTGCCGCAGAACCGCTTACGAGTGAGTGAAGCTTGATGTTCCTTCGTCGCCACTCGATTGGTTGTTGAATTTGGTGTCTCGGTGTAGTTGCATGTGTTGCTGCATGAGAGTGAGATTGCACATTTTGGTGAGATTACAATGGTGTAAGTTGTAACCCCATGTTGCCATGCGAGCACCCTTCATTCGGTTTCTTGTTCCTTAATATCGTCACATATCCCTCTAGGGCAGCGTCAGTACCGGCAGTCTGAAGGCCCCAGTGACTGTTTTGGAGTCATTTGGGGTGGGTTGAGCCAGTGTTGCGTGGGAAAGGGTCGACCTTGGTGGGAACTGGTAAGAGGAAGGGTCCCTCCCAATTCATTCTGGGGTCCTCGGGTTCCATTCACCAAGCGGCTCTCCCAAGCAGTTCCCAGCGCTGTTCTCTGGGGTCAAGGTGGTCTGCGCCTTCCACCTCATCTGCTGGGCCCTTCCATTGTTGGCCATCTTGCGGCCTTGCCCTGGTTGTTGGAGACTTGGAGTCGCAGTGTTCCCACGGAGTAATCAGGGAAGCTGCCCGGTCAGGTCCACCCGGCTGACGAGTCGCCTGTTGTTTAGCTGCTCGATTTGCGAGAGATGGCCGACTATCGCTCCATCATGTTCCCACATCGGTGGAGTGTTAGAAGCTTAACCTTTTACATCTCCTTGCGTGGATCAATGCTGACCCTTTGCGCTTTTGGGAATACCTCCCAGGTGTGCCAGGTCGCTCTTGCGGCTCGCCTTCCACGTTCTGTCAGCACTCTGTAAATTCCGCAGATCTGGCCCGTCAGCCGCCTGCCGCCGGCGCCAACGTGTGGTCTTGCGCCAGTGGCCACTTAACACTATCACTGCCACTGCCACTGCCGTATCGCGATCCAGGAATAACACTCAGAAAATTCACCCCAATTAACTTATTGGTCTCCACCCACCACCATCTTTGGTGGAATACGAGCGTGGAGTTGTTTTTTTTTCTCCTTCGGCATCGAGAGAGGCATCACCCTTCCATCACCTATCTATCCATCCAAGTCATCCCCCACCGTCCGCGCCGGCACATGTTTGCGTTTGACAGTTGCTGGAAGCATCATCCATCCGCCGCTTGACGAGTACCAAATCCACCGATCCATCAATCGATCCATCTTTAGCTCTTTGCCCATCATCCAACCTCTTGGAACCGAGTTACCTCGATGGACTGTGGGTGTCAACTCCCTCACGTCCCTTCCACCCCATCTGGAGAGTCACCCTTCTTGGCATGGCCCCCCTTCCCATGTTGCAACCCTCCAAGATTCCCCTAGGGACCAAAAGACAACAACAATCCTCCGTCGGACCAGCCCGTCACACCAGGCAATCAATGCCGTTCATAGTTACAGAATCACACCAAAACACCAGACTACTCCCGTCCTTTTTTCAGCCTTCCCACAAGCCGACGTCGTCTCTGTTTCGTTTCCACCCGCATACAATTCTCGCTAGCACCAAAAGCCACCCACTCGTCCATTCGTCGTCCGCCGCATCTTGTCTCCAGTCTCCTCCTTTTCGAGCGCCAGTCTCCAGTCTCCCAGCTCTCCTCCCCCCCATCCCCGCCCCCTGCGTCCTAGCGGAGCCCTACAAGGACAAGAGAGAGACAAGCTGTGACAGAAACTGGCTTGCACCGCGCGTTCAAGTCTCTTCGAGTCTGGACCGTCTAGACCTGCCCATGGGTCCCTGCTTCGACAGGCCGCTCAATCCTGCACCCATTGATCACGAAGTCAATTCAATTTCCGCTCTGTTTCTAATACTCACCATAGGTCGCAGGCGAGCTTCAAGGTTTTTTCTCGCAATATCAACCGCCACATGGTCGGCCACTCATCTACCGTGTACGGGTTGCGCCCACTCGGTGGCCTGTCAGTCGCCCTCCCTGTCACCAGCTCTTCTTCACTAGCCCTTTTCAAAACCCAACCAACCAGCCGCCCCGTCCGCGGCTCGCGGCAGCCTAACAGCCGGCGTTCTCAACGGCGCCAGCCTAGTCCGACGGTGGCTTCATTGCGATTCGCGCCAGTGGCGACCAATGACACAACCGACTCCCTCACGGTTCCTCTTGTTATCCCAAGAACGGTTTTCAGCCCGAGCTGATCGTCAGAGACACATCACACACCTCAGACCCTCGAAAAACGCGGGTACCTGAAAAAGCAAACGCTAGAGATTCCGAGGCTGCAGCGGTGTAACACGATCTCTCCTCACCTTCTCGAGCAAGAGGCACGGTCCACGGACGAGGAACTCTATTCCACACGAGACGAAATGGCCTGTTTGCGCATTCTTTCTTTTTACTCTTCAAGTATGTGTTTCATGTGACTTCCAACACTGTAATATGTTGCCTCTTACAGTACGCCTATCCCCTTTCTGAATTCCTGCAGCGCAAGCGGCGCCACGTCTCACATTCTCTACGATTTGAATCTGCATGTCGGAGGTTGGATCGGATCTACAGCCCGTGTTGCGAAAATCTTTCATAATCGATCGCCTCAGTCTGCATTATTGGGTTTGACGCTAGACTCAACACGAGAGCGGCGGGAGAAGAATCTCGATTTGGATCACTGCTCGCGGCGGGCAGTTCGGGAAAGTCTTCACGAGCCCTTGGCTGGCTTAGCACGCCTAGCTGCCGTTGCTCTCGTGCCAAGGGCTGAGAGCGCGCTCTTCTATGTCTCCCAAAGAACGACTTGCCTTCCCACGCGTTCTTCCGCACTTGGTGTCGTCGTCCCAGGAAAAGAACTCGGGGTTGTCGGGGTGCATACGTCAATCGAACGCGGCCCCCGCTACCAGGGAGATCGGAGGACCCATTTAGAAAAGCCGCCGTCTCTCGCGCCGTCTGAGAAGATCACTGAGACCTGCAAATGTTCTTACCGCTTTGCCGCCCCTGAGCCAGATTCGTCGAGAGACATTTTCCCCGGTGCCCTTCAACCACGCCCCTCCAGCCTTTCTGTGTGTCAAGCGGGCCGGTCTGGTGGCAGGAGACGTGGCAGGATGGTTGAAAAGTCTTTTGTGGTGGTAAAGAATGTTGTCTGTCATGAATCGTGAAAATTGGAGGGGCACTTGCACATTCGGCAGTCATTCTCTACAGGCTATGCTACGTAGCTACGAAGGGAGGGGGCGCACGCAAAGTGGCATCATCAGGATATGTTCCGGTGCTTTCGTGATGTGTTTCGCTTACGGATTGTGGGCGGGCTTACCCATTCAGAGCCGCCCCCCCCCCCTTCTTGCCTCTCCCTCATCTACAAAACAATTCTCCGAGTAAGCAAAGTCAACTCGACGACGCTAATTACGTAGACGCGCGTGTGTCTTACACGCCGTAAACTCCCATGCTCTTCCCGTCTAGCTCAGCCTCATTTGGTATCAAAGCCCCCCCAGTTCTCAACGTTCCACGGGTCCAACGGCGCTCCCAGGCCAGTCAGTGCAAACATTACCACTCCCCGCCGCGTTTAGGTCTTTCATCTACAAGTTCTATCTCGTACCTCGGCTCGGCAGCCCCCATCCGTTTACGAGGCGGTGACGTCTACGCCGGTAGCCGAACCACTCCTCTTCTGATCCCGCTGTTCGACCTGCGTCTTCTCGTACGTCTCGCTCCCGTGGTGATCCTCGTGCGTGAGGTCAAACTTGTACAGCGGCTCCAGCGTGGCGTCCCTCTGGAAGAGGACCCAGCGCTTGAACCAGTAGGGCAGGGCCTTTGTGAGCTGGTAGCGCATGAAGACGCGGGTGGGGACCGCGAAGACGTAGTCTAGCTCCTCGAGGGTGCGCTGTTTGGTTTCCGGGAGCCAGAAGAAGATCATGACGAGGGCGACGACGTTGAGGCCCGCGTAGAAGCTGAAGGAGCCCACGACGCCGAGGTCGGCGAGCATGATGGGGAAGCTGATGGAGAGGACGGCGGCCCAGAAGAGGCAGGTCGCTACGGCCCAGGACATTCCTACCTCGCGGTGGGAGAGGGGGAAGACTTCGGCGGAGTAGGTGAAGGGGACGGGGCCTTCGCCTGGTGAGTAGAATGCTGTGACTTTGTTAGTGTTTTTTTCTTTCTTGATATGTCACATGTGGATGATATTAGAAGGGACATACCGGCAAAGAGGTAGACGAACAACGCCACGAGGCCCAGGTGAGCGCCTCCGGTGCCCGGGATGAGCGTGCAGAGACCCGCGGCGAGCAGCGTCCACGCCATCTGGGGGAAGGTGAAGAGGAGGAGGGAGCGGCGGCCAAAGGTGTCGATGGTCCAGATGGCGGGCCAGGCGAAGAGGAAGTTGACCATGCCGAAGCCGAAGGAGGCGAGGAGGGCGTTGTACTCTGATGTGCCGGCCTCCTTGAAGATTGTGCTCGAGTAGAAGGCGATGATGTTGATTCCTGTCCACTGGTGAGTAATGATCTAGAGGTGTTCAAGTTCGGGGTCACGACTTACCACACATTTGCTGGGCAATCATGACGGTGAAGGAAGCCAGCGTGGCACTGCATCAGATTACAAAAGTCAGTCTCGATACTCATTAAATCTCACACAAACTCTTTCTTCGTTTCATTATATTTGTGGCATCATCACTCACCGTCTAATACGTGGAATGGTGAACAACTCGACAAAGCGCTTCGCGTAGTTGGACCGCCCGACAATCTCGGCCTCGACCTGGAGCTGGGTGTGGATGTAATAGATGTCGCGCGCGGCCTGGATCGGGTGGTTGCGCAGCCGCAGCAGCGACTTCATGGCATCGGGGAAGCGGTTCTTCTTGATGTACCAGCGCGGGGACTCTGGGCAGATGTAGATGAGCAGCACGAGCGGCAGGGCCGGGATGAAGGCGGACCCGAGCTGGAGGCGCCAGGCGATGGCGCCGGTCTTGGCGACGGCGAGGTTGGCTGCCGTTCCGGCTGCGATGCCGAAGGCTGTCCAGAGTTCTGTTGATGTTGCGGTCAGCATACAGCAGGAACTATACTTATGACTCTCGTCATGATATCTATATCAAAATGGGGGAGAGGGTGGTACTCACGCCATGTCATGACGAGAGCGCCGCGAATCGGCGCGGGCGAGTTCTCGGCGGCGAAGATGGGCACCGTGCTGGCTTTCGCTCCCATGCCGATACCGAGGAGGATACGGCAGCCGAGCAGCTGCGGCCAGGTCTGGGAGAAGGCGCTACCGATGACGGGCCAGAGGCAAAAGTTGGCGGCGAAGAAGATTGCGCCGCGGCGGCCGAAGAAGTTGTTGAGCGGGTCTGAGAGCCAGCAGCCGATGAGGGCGCTGCCGATGTATGGCGCCGCGTTGACGAGGCCGACCTTTTTAGAGTATTAGCATGTGATAATACCAGAACCATGGCTTGCGAGTGAGTGAGACGTACAAGGAGAGTATCATGGTGCGAAGTACCCCCAATCCCAAACACCGTGGGAAACGACAGGTTCGCGCCGTTGCTACCCGTCTGATCCCATCCCTGGACAGCGGCGCCGATGGAGCAGGTGATGATGGTGAGGTACAGGATCTTAGGGATGCGCCACTTATGCTCGATCTCGTCGCGGAGGACCTGGATCTCGGTGGCGTCGAGGGCCTCGGGGCCGTCAATCTCCTCGTAGCCCGTCGGGTCCTGGGCGACGAGGGCGCCCTTTTTCAAGACGGGTATGTATTCTTGCAGGCCCTTGTCGTGGGCAAAGGCTTCGACGTCGCGGAGGAGCTCGGCGCGGGTGATGCCGAGGAGGGGGTTCCTGATTCTGTTGGGTGGGTGGTTAGTTTACGTCCCATTGAGGAACTGGAGGCGGAGGACGGACTTTGCGTCGACGTTGTCGTTTAGGTCTACTGTTGCTTGCGATCCGCGACGGGCTTTCTCCATGTTGGAAAAGTCGCCCGAGCTGGGCGTGTTAGTTGAAGTTTGAAGATTCATTGTAAGTGAGTAAGGCTTACACCGCGGCTCCGTCTAGGTGTTTGTCGTCCGCCATTGTTGCGGCGCGTTGAGTACTATCGACGACTCAATGCTTGATGGCTTCTTGGTTGAAGTGTGAGTGTTTCGAGCTCTATACTCTTGGTCTATCACAAGATGACAATCAAGTCTCTACGATAGAATGCGCCTTGAAATCCGAGAGTGATCGTCCAACTCAAAGACAGGGCTCGGACGAGGAGAGGGGGAAACCGGGAAAGCATGGGATGGGCGCTGCCTGATATTTGTATCTCACCCACAGACAACTTCTCATCCCAACCTCTGCACAAGGTTCACGGAGACCAGATCGGCGCAACCACCTTCCCTCGCAAGTCAAGAACGGCAGCTCGAAGGCGTCTGTCAACGCGAACTAGGTAGACCGGCTTTGTTCCCCCCTCTCTCATGTCAATGGGACTAGACCACAGCGTACGAGCATCCAGAGGTGATCCACAATGGGGCGACCCATGGGGAAAGTCCAAACCTTTGAAAGTGGATTCGCTGGGGTTTGGGGGGCAGGGAGATGGTAGCTATTCTTCAGATGGGCCATGGAGCAAATAATTTCCCCTCACGCGCGTGGTGTATGTGAATGGCACGACTGGGTACCATGACAGTGGCGGCTCTCTCTTGGCCTGACCAAGGCAGCGGAGAGCATACTAGACTACATGGTTCGCGAGTTCGGCCTTGCATGGCCCATCGTCTAAATTCCCGTGTCTAATTGGGCTACCGGTCGAAAGAGATGTAACGATGCTCCGCAAGGGCGCATCTGGGTTGTGCGACATTTGAGATCTCCACCAGCAGTGGCTGTCATTCGAAGTGAGTTCTGCGGACCAAAGCCCGGCGCCTTGGTAGCACTCCTCTGTTTTGGGGGAATTGGGCAGAGATCGGCACAATATGATACCGGCTGCTAGACGCCGCAGACAGCAAAGTCGAAAGCGAAAGCTAAGCTCTTCGGGTCAGCCTTGGCCGTTAACGGTCCCGTCTTTGACTGAACGGATTCATGGTTCTGAGGGTCCGTTGCTCTCTAGTCATATCCTTCAGTCAAAAACCCATGGCTTTCCCCAGACTGATCTTACTTCTCACTTCCTCCCCAGGAAAAGCACGTCCCGGCGGTTGAGTCCTGGCACACGCAACACACGTTGTGTAGGAACGTCCGTGTAGCAAGAGATAAGGACAGGAACCCTGGCCATTCGAGACAAGACGTAATTAAAACGTGGGACCCTGTGGGACGGATACAGTCAGAAGTACATTTGAGTGCAAGACTCAAGCACATCCGAGAAGGTTGACCGTCTTAATTGCCCTTGTCGTAAACATGCGAGGTAAACGAGCGAGCGGGCTACTGTGCGGCGCAAGACGGGAATGGCGTTGTCAGATGAGATGCTATCCAATTGCCGATCCCACTATGTTTGGAGAGTAGCGCCGTTTCTGGGGTAGGCTATCGACCGGGGGGGGAACGCTTCGAGGCGGGATCGTTTGTGGATTCTGTCGTTGGAGGCTTGGAGATGCCGCCACTTATCTCGGGGAATTTGGGAAAAGCCAAGACAGGACAAGAGATCTCGTCGAGAACGCCAAGAACGGTGAGATTGACGCCCTAGTCGAGATCAAAGTCCGTGTGGCTTCTGCAACCGTGAGGTGAGGTCGCCATTGCATCTTTCTGCTTACGCTCCGAGAATCTAGAGGTGACAGAAAATAAACCGGGTACGCTTTCTTGACTCCGGGTTTGCGGGGTTTGGGGCACGGAAAATGCGTTCTCCATACCCAAAGATGGTTGGGAGAGAAGAGGACAAAAAAGAGAGCGCGCTCGACCAGGATAAATCGACTCCTCATTTCGACGCCAGCATGGAGACGTCATCGTCTGGAGGCGGTATGCTTGCCATTGGTCTTTTTGGCAGACCAGTTAACGACATCTCCACTTGGAAACCAACCGAATGGCTTTCTAGGTACTTAGACTGTAGACATGGTGCCATAGTACGAAGGCACAGAGGATTTGGTGGGGTCAAGTCGGCAACAGCTCGTGTAAATCCGTCCCTGGAGTTTCATAGTACCGACAAAAGACGGCGAAAAGGCTGCGTGATTTTTTTGGTGGATTTGTGGCGCATTTTTTGACAGGAGAAATCCCATCTTAGTTGAATCGTCTTGTTAAATCACGAATCGCGAATTGATGAGGTGTCGTCGGCTAGAGTCGTAGCCAAGAAATCGTGCTAGAGAGCCGCCCGCAATGCCCAGAATTGCCGAGAAAGTGCCCAGCCCTCTAAAATGCTTGTATCGTCGTCCGCAAAAGCTTGGGCTGTCGCATTGGGCTATAGGGCCGATGATCGCTTTCCTCTGCACCCTTGCTGGAGGATGCAGCTCTCCAGAGAAGCATTACCCTCGATTGATTGGGTTGGGTTCTTGGCTGACTGATGGCACCGCAAGCACATGATCTTGTGACCGGGGTTTGTTCCAAGGACGACTTTGCACCTTTATGTCCTTCGGCCAAGTTTCCGGTCGATAGGTGAGGTCTGAGTCGTGTTGTCCTGGCACTGTCAACCAGTAAAATGGTCATTTTCGAGGGACCCCTAACGAACCCCGCGGGGCAGGTGTAGGTATTTCTATGCGTTTCTCCAAAAGGCTGTGGAGGCGTTTGCCCACCTTCATCCCCGCGGCGGTTCCTCCAGCAGGCGAAGATGATGCGGAGTCTAAGATATTGTTCAGTCTGACTGCCTTCGAAAAAACAGACGTTGCAATTGTATTACAAGCTGATTCGCGAGTGCGTGTCCTGTTTTCTGCTCTGGGGACGCCCTTGCGGTGTCTACAGTGCCTTTGCTCCATCTGTGCTGCTGGAAGACCTGCCACTGGGTCATTGATCTTTTAGGAAATCCACCTTCATATCTGAGGACTGAGCCTACCTAGCAATGCTGGGGTTATTCTCCTGCAGTGATATGCTGCAATCATTCATGGCCGGAGGCCACGAAAATTAAAATTTTTAAGGTGTTCCAACTCCGAGTTTCGGTACGTACCGAATCTGAATTGCTGTCGAATTGCTGACATTTTGCTGACTTTTTTCGCAGTTGGTTTCACCGACACTGAGGATCATGAGCAGCTTTCTTATCGTAAGTACCGCCAAGAACCAGGTCGCCATGAACCCTCATAACACTGTGGTCTTCGATGCCAAGCGTCTCATTGGCCGCAAGTTACAGGACTCCGGGGTCCACAATGACAGGACCCATTAAAATTTACAGCACACCTGCTTTCCATTCATTGTTCACATCATGGATCCCTTTCTTACTTACCTTAAGATACTCAGGAACTGATTACAAGTGTGGAATAGCATCCAAGCACTCAAGTGAATGGAATTTCGGAATTTTCAAAGCAGTTGGTGTTTCCTTAAGAAGCGATGTTGTGGATGAGAAATTAGTAACCCTCTTTTTGACCAGACATTTTAACCTATATAAGGGAAGATCGCTCATCTGGGTACACCACGGAACCCAAGCTTGGACTTGAGTACCTCAAATAGCCGCGCCAGATATAATTGACAACAGAGCAAGGACTGGTATATTGTACAGGCGCATTTCTGGGCGAGGCCGAGGGCTCTAGTATTAATGGAATATTGAGAAGGGTATTGACCACCGTATATCATCGTCGGTCGTTCTCTGCCTGGGTTTGATACAGAGCGTAGGCCCCCGAACAATGAAGCCTTAGTAGTTGTGCTTGAGAACCGTTTTGAGAGCTGCAATCTCCTTCTCATACTTTGTGATCTTGACTTGGCTGCCCTCGAGCTTTTCGAGCAGGTACGCCACTCGAGACCCGGTTTGAGCAGGCTGTTTTGGCAGGCTGCCCAACAGCGCCAGCTCTCCCTCAGCCTTTTCGATGACTTTCGCCTCAACCTTCGTAAGCTCTTTTAGAAGGGCCAAGTCCATTTTGGCCCTGAGAACACGGTCGTCAAGCAGAAGACTGAATGCTGCTTGGTACATTGGCTTTCCTGGGCGGATTGTTTGCGGCCGGCCGTTGTAGGTCTCTACCGTAACGAGCTCTGCATTTGTAAGTCCTTCCAAGGCTGACTCCCCGTTCGCGGCGCCAGGGGTGGTGGAAGAGGCGAATGTATCGGACAAGAGAACCTCGTTGTATCGAAGAGCATCGTGAGAAGCAAGCGCCTTGATCAAGTACCACGCCTGCTCGGTGGACCATTTCTTGCCCTCGACAGTATCCTTGCCACCTAAAAGGTACATCTTGACAATTTCAGTGGCGCTCTGGTTGATGATATCTTCAATGGCGCGCTGGGGGCTTTGGCCACCCTTTAGTCGTCTAGCAAGGTATTCGAGATCTGTGAGACGGCCACCGAGGATTCCAATTGCCGAGTCCAGCTCCGAGAGATCGGGTTTTCGGTGTTGCTCGGGCTTATCCTCCTTCTCTTCTGCCTCCTTGGACTGTTCTCGAACCTTTTCGATTTCGTCCTCTTCGAGACGGCTGATGATGAATTTCTTGGCAACATCAAGGGAGAGATCACCCAAAGCAGCTTGGCGGAAGACGCGATCCGGCATCGCCTTCGATAGCGATTTTGAGTAAGAGGTGTCGTCTGTCAAGAAGATGACGTGGGCAACATTATTCTGAACCATTGCCGCAGCCCATTCCGCAACCTTGTCGTAGACCAGGCTTGAGCCTTCGTTCTTGTGCAAAAAGTTATCAATGACCACAACAGCCCGCTTGTCTGGACGGGCCTCCAAGTATGCGTCGTCTGAAAGGTCGCCATCCTTGCCGTCCTTGTCGCGTCCGGCAAGGGAGACTTCCTTTAGGGCCTCTGCGGTTGTGTGAAGGATTTTGACCACCTGCGACTCCAGTGTCTCGGAAAAGCCAGCCTTGACCCCAGTCGTGCTCTGAACTGCCAAATCGATCATGCTGCTCATGCTGTTCAAGAAAGCGAAGATCGGCTTGTAGCCCACGGCGGCAGCTAGGTGTTTGATGGTTCCACTTTCGCCCCTTGCCTCGATGATCGGCTTGCAGTCGATCACCAAAACGTTTTTCCTGCCCTTGAGTGACTGGTCCAAGACGAGCTCCTTTTTGCCTGAACCCCGAGGGCCCTGAACAACGATGAAAGTGTCGGAGCTCTCAAGGAGCCAAGTCTGGATCTGCTCGATAAGGTCTCGGCGATGCTGCCAAACTGCACTGAACCCGGCCTTGTCAGCCTTCTTGTGCCCAAATGAGGAGAAAATGTCCGAAGTCTGGCTCTTGATCCATCGGTAGAATTTGTTGTTGCTCAGTCGGAAAGAATGTTGAATGTGGGCCTTGACGAAGAATTCGCGTATGGGGTCGAAGATGGCCACTGTGATGGCAGCAAGGAGGGCGGCAACGACGGGAATTACCACCCTAGGATGGCTAGTGAGCCAGTTCCAGATGTTGTGCGGTTTGACCTTTTGCTCATAGGATAGGCGAAGCCTTGTGCCAGTCTTTCCGCCACCAAGACCTTCGTCAACCAGGAATCCATGGAGACAATTTCTCGCCATGATGGCGTCGCGGACGCGCGCAAAGTCGATGTACGCATACTTTGGGAGAACCTTCGAGTCGGAAGGCTGTGAAGTTATCTCGGCAATTTTACCGTATCTGCGAAACAGACTGTAGAGGTTCTCCTGTGAGAGTTCGACGGCCTCGCCGCCTGCATCTTTTCCTGTGAACTCGACCTTGACACGACTTTTGGGAAACCGGTAGAGATCCTCTAGCCAAGGAACTCCCTTGACCAATCCTGCCTGAACCCCACGAAAGGGGTTGAACCATGGTCTGAGGGGATGTTTCTCCAGCGAACGAGCGAGAGATGCTTATGGGTGTTAGTCAGGCATTGACACGAGTTGAGGAGACTCAGTTTAAATAGCGACAAAGACGTCATTGCGGACTAGAACGAAGTTCAAACTCACTCTCAATATCTTTTGGTACAACGTCGGAGCCATGGCTGAATTTTACAAAAGCTCCTCCGTCCTTGAGTCGCGGTAGGATCTCTGTGACTTTGATTGGGAGATCGTCGGGGATCGCCTGTTTTACTAGGTTGATTGGATCGGTGCTAAGGCCTCCGCCAGAGCTATCGAAGCGCTTGAGAAGGTCGGTCAGGTCACGGTCTGACTGCCATGACCGTCGGAGGAGGTAGGTGAGCTTGAGAGGAAAGAGGTCTACCAGCCATTGTCAGTATTGTTTCCTCGCGCCAGCGCTGGCCGAGATGGACATTGAACAAGAGGCACAAAGGTGGGGGTGAAGAGGACAAGACCGTGAGTGGGAAGAAAGCAGGGGATGTCATCAAGGAGAGAAACGGAGACAGTGAAGGGCATCGATACGACACTTGATGCTCGGAGGAGGCCAAAATTGGGAGAGGGTAGGGACTAAACCCGGGGCGCGAGGTCCTGGGTCAGATGCAGGAATGTCTCGGCTGAGAGAAGGGGTGACCAGAAATCTTACTGTCAAAGAAGAGAATGGATTCGCTCTCCGAAGTGGCGATATGCCCGGATTTCTCGTCGCCGGTTACGGTACTCTCCCATGCTTTGGACGCGGCGCGCACGATAGCTCCATGTCGCTGGGATTGAGCAATTGGCCGGGGCAGGCCCCATGTCATCTGCAGCCGAGGCGCAGGCCTCATGCCGGAGCGAAGCAGCGCTCTGGTAGGTAACATTGGATGGATGTCGATGCAGACTCACATGTTGCTTTGACAGCCAGTAGTGGAATTGAGTTTGAGGACGGGACGTTGAGAACAGCTGGGTGGAAGGCAATGGAAGAGAATCAAGGCAGCCGACTAGCTTGCCTGCCTCACCTCACCTTACCAGAGCTGCTTAGCTCCTTCACGAGAAAGTCAGCCCCGGTGTTCGCGTGGGATGATGTCACGCTTTGCGGCCCCACTTGAAGGTCCAACGCGCCCCATAACCTTAAGTTTCGAAACGGACGATATCTTATCCGAACCGACGACGCCCCACTAGAGCACGCGCAGCTATGGCAAAAATCATGCAACCACTCATTGGCTAGACGCGGCGTCTTGGAGGTCATTGATGGTAACGGTTGCCGACTTCCCCTCATTCTCGATTGCGTCCGACCTGCCCAAGACGATATCACCTTGGGACTTTGCCCGATTCTTTACGCTCTGTTCTGTTTTAAATCAACAATTTTTCGAAATGGGCTGGCTCTGGGCTTCACCATCTCCCCCCAAGACTCCCGCCCCGGGACAAGCTTCACAGGCTCCCGCGCCGACCCCGCCATCCTCGACTAAGACGACTGACTCCGAGATCGATCCCGAGATTGCAAAGTTCCTCGCCCTTTTCCAGAACGAATCGGGCAATCAGCCAGAAGAAAAGGCGTCAGCGCCAGCACAATCATCCTCCCCACCGTCCAAGTCATCATCGTCTTCATCATGGTTCTCCCTCAAATCTTCACCCGATTCCCCCTCTCAAACCAGCAACCGTGCAATCACGCCACCCTCCGACAATCCCGTGGCTGAGTCCACCCTTCCGACAGAGATGTCTTGCCGCCAGGCGTTTGACATGGCCTTTCACTGCCAGTCTGTCGGCGGCCAGTGGAACAGCATTTACCGATACGGCACGATGCGCTCTTGCAGCGAACACTGGGAGGACTTTTGGTTCTGCATGAGGATCAAGAGTTACTCGGGGAAGATGAAGGAGGATGCCATAAGAGACCATTATCGTCAGAAGGAGTTTGAAAAGTATGGAAATGGCAAGCCAAGTAGTGAGGACGTCTGGCAGGCAAGGACCACCAAGGTCCCACCGGGCATGGCATTTACGGAGAGTTTGGAGGAACCCACAATTAATGACGAGGAGTGGCAGAGGATGGAGATTGAGAGGCGGAAGCAGATTAGGCAGGGGCTCGGCATCGAACCAGCAGCATGATACAATTGTACAATAAGGATCCATCTCTTCTCACATTTTTGCGGCCGGGCCAAGTGAAGCCCTTTTACTACAACCACTACATTTTCCATTCATGATTGAGTAGTATGATTATAGGGTAGTATTCGAGTGTAAGAGCACATCACAAGCATAAATGAATGAATGAACAAGTAATTTTACTGTTTTATATTAGACTTCCTAAACCGCGGAGTCTAGCTAGAATACATCTCTGACCCATAACCGTGCTTTTCCCATCGTGATTTCATAAATGCAAAGAAAGCAAAAGTCTAGTCGTGAAACCCAGTGGCAGCCGATGCGGTGCCACACCCATGACTCGGACTCTAAGGAAAGAATTCATCAAGGGTATCAATTTAGTCAACCTCCTCGACGGTAGGGCCGTCGTCGTGGTTGCCGGGGGGGGCGCCGCCGGGAGCACCGGGGAAGCCGCCAGGGGCACCGCCAGCACCGGGAGGACCGCCAGCAGAGCCGTAGAACTTCATCATGATGGGGTTGGCAATGCCCTCGAGCTCCTTCTGGCGCTCCTCGTACTCCTCGCGAGTAGCCTGCTGGTTCTCGTCGAGCCAGGTGACGATGGTGTCGATCTCAGTCTTGAGCTTCTCCTTGTCGTCAGCCTCGAGCTTCTCGTCGACCTTGGAGTCGCTGAGGGTGTTGCGGAGGGAGTAGGCGTAAGACTCGAGACCGTTCTTGGCAGAGACACGCTGGGCCTCGGCCTCATCCTCATCCTTGAACTTCTCGGCCTCAGCAAGCATGCGCTCAATGTCCTCCTTGGAGAGACGGCCCTTATCGTTGGTGATGACAATCTTGTTGGACTTGCCGGTACCCTTCTCAACAGCGGAGACGTTCATGATTCCGTTGGCGTCAAGGTCGAAAGTGACCTCAATCTGGGGAACACCGCGGGGAGCGGGGGGAATGCCGGTAAGCTCGAACTTGCCTAGAAGGTTGTTGTCCTTGGTGCGCTGGCGCTCACCCTCGTAGACCTGGATGAGGACACCGGGCTGGTTGTCGGAGAAGGTGGAGAAGACCTCGGACTTCTTGGTGGGAATGGTGGTGTTGCGGGGAATGAGCTTGGTCATCATGCCACCAGCAGTCTCGATACCGAGGGACAGAGGGGCAACATCGAGAAGAAGGATCTCGTTGGTGCTCTTGGAGGAAGTGTCACCGGACAGAATGGCGGCCTGGACGGCAGCACCGTAGGCAACAGCCTCATCGGGGTTGATGGACTTGTTGGGCTCCTTGCCGTTGAAGTAGTCGGAGATGAGCTTCTGGACACGGGGGATACGGGTGGAACCTCCGACCAGGACGATCTCGTGGACCTGGGACTTGTCGACCTTGGCGTCGGTGAGGACACGGTCGACGGGCTGGATGGTAGAGCGGAACAGGTCCTGGCAAAGCTCCTCGAAGCGAGCACGGGTGATGGAGGTGTAGAAGTCGATACCCTCGAACAGGGAGTCGATCTCGATGGAGGTCTGGGCAGACGAGGACAGGGTGCGCTTGGCACGCTCGCAAGCGGTGCGGAGACGGCGCAGAGCGCGGGCGTTGGAGGACAGGTCCTTCTTGTGCTTGCGCTTAAACTCGTTGACAAAGTGGTTGACAAGACGGTTGTCGAAGTCCTCACCACCCAAGTGAGTGTCACCAGCGGTGGACTTGACCTCGAAAATGCCCTCCTCAATGGTCAAGAGAGACACATCGAAAGTACCACCACCAAGATCGAAGATGAGGACGTTGCGCTCACCCTCAGCCTTCTTGTCGAGACCGTAGGCAATGGCGGCAGCGGTAGGCTCGTTGATGATACGAAGAACGTTGAGGCCGGCAATGAGACCGGCGTCCTTGGTAGCCTGACGCTGGGAGTCGTTGAAGTAGGCGGGAACAGTGACGACTGAGACCAGTTAGTCTGTGACTGTCAATTGATGTTGGGACATGTGTGACTTACCAGCATTGTTGACCTGGCCGCCGAGGAAAGACTCAGCAGTCTCACGCATCTTGGTCAGGACCATGGCGGAGATCTCCTCGGGAGTGAAGGTCTTGGTCTCGCCCTTGAACTCGACCTCGATGTTAGGCTTGCCGCCCTTCTCGATGACCTTGAACGGGAAATGCTTCATATCGGCCTGGACCTCGGAGTCCTGGAACTTGCGGCCAATGAGACGCTTGGCATCGAAGACGGTGTTGTGGGGGTTCATGGCGACCTGGTTCTTGGCCGCATCTCCGATCAGACGCTCAGTGTCGGTGAAACCAACTGCGAAAAAAGTTAGCAAATGTCAGGAATTCGACAGCAATTCAGATTTGGTACGTACCGAAACTCGGGGTTGTCCTGTTTCCCTGATCGTTGGCAATGATTTCAATCTTGTCGTTGGAGTAGTATGCGACGCATCTAAATGCTGTTAGTATATGTTGTGATCGTATTGAGTGGTGGTGGAATATAGGCGGCGGGAAGGCACGCTGAGAAAGAGAAAGTAGCGCAAGAAGGAGAGTAACTTACGAGTAGGTGGTACCCAAGTCGATACCGACAGCCTTGCCTCCGGAAGCCATTGTGACGGTTGTGGTGTGTGGAAGAAGAGTTGTGGTGTTTTTAGAACTTGCGTGTGAAGGAGGGGTATCTTCGTGCGCGTAACCGGGAGAAGTTGTATTCCGGTAGAGTTGATATCAGCGATCAAGAATTCGGTGAAAAAAGAAATGCGCTGGACACTTCTGATTTTTGATGGGTATTAAGAAGAGGATTGGATTTCGTGAAGAGTGAAGAGACAGAAAATGCAAAGAGTTGGTGTTTGGATTCTTAAAAGGTAGACGGCAGGTAGGAGGCAGGAGCGACTCAGTGCCCCGCAAAAATTCGAAATGGTTCTTTCCTCTTCCACCTACCCTCAATTGGTGGGGTACCACAATCGCTGCGGCCCAGCTGGGGACACTTCCAGGAGCCTCTCGAACTCGCCTGAAATTTTCTACCAACTCCTACAAGGATTAATTCGGGACTAGGGCCTTTTCAGCCTCTCCAGGAGGCAAAGTTTCCAATTTTCCAGGATTCGAGGCAATTCCCCAGCGCTTCGCAAGGCGATTCCAGCGACGTGAGAAAGATTCTGCGAAAGGCGATTCGCTGACATCATAACCTTCCATGAGGTCTATGGAGGGGCAGCCCGTTTGCGCCCCTTGTCGCAGTACCCTGGCTTGGCTCCCATGCACGCCTTAAAACTGGTCTGTGTAGGTATCCTCTACTTTTCCCCTCTCGTCCACGAATCCACACCGCTCCAGAAAAGAGAATTTCCATCGCTGGTGAGGTGATATCATCCAGACTGGGCCACGCAGCTGTGCGTGGCCCAGCGACCGGACCCAGCGACTCTTCATGAAGCATCTATTATCCACCACACTCATCTCGAATCTCCTTTCTGGGGCCTTTCTGGACCTTAGTCAGACCCCTCGATCTCAAGCAACCGAGAGGCGACAATTGAAATCAACAGAAGGTGCGATCAATGTCGGTTGGGTTGTGAGCGCCAAGAAATGCGGCGGTAAAAGTGAGAAGGGATGCAAAGGACTGCAGCATTCACAGGAACAATTAGGCAGACTGATACTCCGTACAGCTAGGCAAAAGGAATTGATTTGGGAAATCAGGCTGCTTATTCTTGGGGTTGGTGGTGTGTGAGGTGGTGAACACTGCATGCAGGTGCGCAAAGGGCAGCCTTTGTTGCCATGGCAGCCCAATGAAACCCACCATTGCGGGTTTTTCTTCTTCTGTTCCTCCTACTGCTATGGTCCCCTCTCGTACCTCTATGCTTTTTCTGATTCTCATTTTCTTGGTACGTATTCGTACCTGATGCTCCTACGGATGGCAGTACCCAACAACGACTAAGCAACCAAAGGCGGAGGCAAAGACAGAAATTCCGCCAACACCAGCAGGAATGGCAAAGGTACCTAAGGTAAGGTAGGTAAGGAATGCACGGATACTGTGTACTGCGTAGAGATGGTCTATCAAAAAGCTGCGACAATCGGAAATGACCCCACTCACCCGGCCGACCGGCCGGCCCTGACCAAAGGAGGATCCTGTTACAAGTGGGTCTCCAATCGGGCTCGGAACCTCGAGACGACCACAGCCCGGACGGCTGTTCGGGTACAAATGACTGCAGTCCCGCAAATGCATTTCAGTCGAGTTCTTGAAACGAATAGATTCAACCAAGTACTCGAACTAGTGAGTTTTACAAGCACATTCGATTGCAAAGTGTACCCAACGCGCGAGGGAACTATATAATTGACCTCAAAGCGCGAGAGCGGCCTCTGCTAATCAGCGATGTCGCATATCTCCCAATCTGTCTGGTCCTTTCTTTCTTCCTGAATATACTCCTCTGTATTAAGAGCCGCCGTTGAGTCGTAAACGAAACGACGCGGCTCCTTGCACTTGACATTTCCATCGCCTGCTTTCTCCGTTTGACCAGCCTCTGAAGCTTGAGAAGTGCTTTTTCCCTTGATAACGAATGGCTGCTGCCAAGTGGTTATGCTCGTGGAATACCACTGAGTTTCAAAACCACTCCTCCCGTCAAGTGATTCCCTTATCTCTTTGACGGAAAGCAATCTGGGCCGGTCTGATTCTTCTTTCTCGGGAGTGAAAACCCTCAGTCCCTCTGTGAAGAAATTGGGTGCGACTTTGCGAAGCCTGATTGGCCACCCGTCTATGAGGGTGCTTGGGACACTTTCGGGTCCCATTTTCCACTTCTTTACAAATGTCGCGAGATTGGACGTTGCCTGGGCCCAACTCCCATCCATAGCGTCTCTTTGTTCTTTCGTACCATGGATCTTAGAGAGATCTGGCAGTGAAACTGCTGATTCCTGTGTCAAGTATCGAGTTTCGAGGTTTCCGTCTGCATTCGTATTCTCGATGCGACAGGCAACTCTGAACACTTCCTTGAAGTTGTCGAATAGACCCACGCCAGTAAACTTCTCGTATGCACAAGGATGGCGATTACCCGTCGACAAAATTGCAATCTCGATCGCGGGAACCATGTAGTCGCCATCCTTGACTTTTCATTCGCCGCCATCATTCTTTCTCAAAGGAAGGCGGAGGCGCTGAATGGTTTCCTTCGTGCCTCGTACGCCTTCTGGCATTGGGCGTGTACAAAAGGTGACGGCGAGTCTATCGAGATCCTTGACATTGCCGTTGTCTTCCACTCTGCACGGCGGTCCCTTGTAGAGCCAGCAAGATGGACCATCCTCATGACGGATTCTTTCTGGCCCCGTCCAAAGGCCATTTGCAACACGATACAACTCCAAGACTGGACTGTTCCAATTGAGGCCACTCTCTGGGCCAGGGCTAGCTTTGAAGCCGGGTCTCGCGAGTGAAGAAAATGCTTCCGATTTCATCACTGACGCAGCGATTGTTGTAAAGATACTGGTGACCTGACCCGGCAAATAGGTGACGGGGTTATTGAAGCCCTCCCAAAGACATATCTCGCATGCCTGGATGATAGGCATCGTATAGAGCAATCATTGCCTGTCCTGACCAAGCATGACATGATGAGTCGTCAGAGGGGTCAGGCTTCTCCATCTTGGCGATAGGATAGATGGCCCATTTTCTTTTGTGTTTCTTGAAAAGCTCTTCATATACTCGTAATGATTGGCTGAATAAGGGGATGGCACAGTGGACTCGATCTTCTGTCGTTGGCTTTTCACGTATTCAGTTCCCTTCGTGCTCATCTTCCAGAAGCAATGGGTTCTGAATTTTTCCGAAGAAGAGTCGTCCTTCCCGTACTAGGCAGTGACGTAGAGTACGTGCTCGTTGTCTCAGTTGTTTCTCTCCTCAGCAGGGGGTCTATCGACCTCGGTAGCCCTCGATATGATTTCCTTGAGGCTAGGCATTCCATTTCGAAACAAATCAAGAGTTCCCATCTTCTCGAAACCTAGCGTTACTCTCAACATCTCATATTCTCGTCACAAGTTACTTCGTCCACTAACCTTGAGCCATTTTCCCCGCGATGCTCGTGATTTTCTTTGGCTGTTTCAACATTTCAAGCTGACAAAGACTCACCCCGGCAAGATCTAGATCATCATTATGAATTAAATGTGACGAGAAGGCGTTCAAACGGCATCTCGATACTTTCGTCGGCCTTGGCGACCGGGGTCGGCTTGTAAACTTCCGTAAGAGAACCTGACGCCGGGAGAGTGCCTATTTCGAGGAACTCCTCAGAAACGATGGCAGGATCCTTGAACTTTTTGGGTTGTAATAAAGTCCCCAGCGAGTGTCCTCCCGATCGTAAACCTCAAACTCTAGATAGCGGTTTTTTGTCTTTTTGGCACGGTTCCCGAACTATTCCGGCAGTGCCCTCATCCAGCATCATGTGGTTGCCTGCCGTGTCTTCAAGTGACGCATGCTCGCTTGGGTTCCAGAAATTTCTACGCAGCTTCGGCTTGCGTAGGTCTTTTGAGATTTCGAACAATCCTTCCTAGACAGTTGTATGTCACGTAGGTTTCCTATCCATGTCACAATCACTGAGTTTATGATTGCCATATTATGCTGGCTTCCTCGTGATATATCCTGGTGGTAAGTATCATCAGTTTACCGCCACCCCAAAATGCCCTCTTTGTGAGCAGGGAACATTCCAAACATCGTAATTCTGCTTCGATGCTTTCCGCAGCTGTTCAATCCCCAAGGACCGAGTGAAAGACTTCCTGTAAACTTGCCACAGTCAAATGACTGATGGAGAGGGAGGGGCCTGCTGGCCTGGCCGATTCCTTACTGATAAGACAGAGAATGTGAACAGGCATTCCAGAAGCTGGGGTGAATATCGCTTATTACACGTATTGAACATGAACTGCTCAGCAAAGAAGCGCAAGTGACAATTGATGTTCAAATGAAGGTACCCGATCACGACTGAGCCAACGTCTCTGACAACCAAAATGTGAATGATACCGAATACTTCAAGTATTGAGTGCTTTCATGGCTGATCAACACGGTGATTGGAAACCTAAAATAAACCTATCTACTATTTGATGAAGAGTAGCCAGCGGAAGATGCGACCATGTGGCGATGAAAATTGATGGTACGTGTTTTCCTGTCCTTCATAATAGATCGATCATGATAGCCGTACATCAAGTGTGCATCTGTGTTCATCGTCAAAACGACATGATGATCAGACTAAGGGGAGTCCGTCTTGATTGCGAGTCAAGTAGACAGCATGACGAGGTGCCACACAGACACGCCAATAAATGATAGGAACCGTGTGACATGACCAGCATTGGCATGGCTGAGAAGGTGGGCAAATGCAAAGCATTGGCTTGTCGCTGTTTGTAAACACTTGGAACATGGTTATACTAAGAAACGTGGACAATGAGGCTGTTCGTGATGCTGGCCAGACGCAGCCGGGGACTGTATGACTACGCCCGACCACCTCATTAAAGGACTGTGACATAACAGTGGCTGACTCTCTACTCTACAGGCATAATGATACAATGGAAAGGCGCTATCTGTAGACGATGTCGATGAGACCTAAACGTAAGCAAACCATCGTTGTTTACTGCAGCCTATTCACATATCATCGGTCATACATGTGGACGTCGTAAGGGTAGGCAGCGCAAGATATTAACACCTTCAAGGCGGCATTCAAACAGTGAGACATACTTTACAATCCCAATCTGAACTATTATACTAAAACGCCTCTAGGCCAGCCGGTCTGCCAAACCAAGTCCCCAATTCATCACCATCTTCTTCCCTGTTCCCCGACGCAAAGTAGTCTGTCATCCGCGCGGAATCGCCGTCATCTTCGACCGGCCATTCCACCTTTGGATTTCCCTTTGCCTCGAGCATGTCCTTGGCCGTGCCCCAACTGAACCTGCATTCGGGACCCCATCCAAACACCGGGTGCATGTTGGATCTCATCCATGACACACACCGTCCATCTGATGGATATCCTGAACCCCAGGCCATGCCCTCCTCTCCCTCTGCCGCAGCGTTAGGGGCTCGCCCCTTGTAGAGAACCTCAAGCGCGACATCACGGGTAACCTTTGCGCATACAGAAGCGGCCGATACACAGGGGTAGAGACTGTCTGCCTTCTTCGCGACTGTAATCTTTGTTGCGGGAAAGAAGCGCTGGAGCTTGGCTTGGTAGGCGGCGGGCTGACCGACGGTATCGACGTAAATCTCCTGGATGTTGACGCCCTGCGCAAAGACACCCTTGATCAAGTCAACGGTGGCGTCCATGGCCTGGGCGTTGAGGTTGTAGTTGGCCCCCGGGCGCATCATGCCTGATGAGATGTCGCGGGCACTGAGTGCTGAGATGGCGAAGCCGCAAGTCTCGGCCAGGTCGGAGCCCGGCGTACACAGAGCCGTCATGAGTTGTGAGCGGACGGCCGGTGTGAGCACTTTGGAGTCGTCAAAGTGATGGGTCTCACGGAGTAAGGGGTCCGAGAGGGGAATTGGTAGGTAAAAGACACCATACACCATGGGTCCCAAGACCGGTCCGCGGCCGGCCTCATCGACACCTAAGCAGACTGGAGTGCCGGCCGCTGCCGGTGAATCTGATTCGTCAGGTGTGCTGGTTTTTGTCGATGAGGCTGGTGGGAGAAGTGTTGAGGGAACTGGGGAGAAGTATGTGTATGAGTCGCCCGAGAGAATGGCCTTTTCGTTGATAGAAGGGGGAACAAAGGCACCCGGGACTGGAGTCTCGAGAGCGATATCCTCGACCATTGGAGAGTCTTCCATTGTCACGGGTGAGCTGGAGATGAGTTGAGAGCAATCTGGATTCGCCCTAGGTATCGCTTATAAGGTAAAAGAGCAGTGTCGTATGGACGGTATGTTGTCTTATGGATATCTTTTGAGAATTAAGTGCAACACGTCTTTTCCAAACTCCGAGCTGAATACCAAAATAGTTGAGACTGTGAAAACCAAGGTCAGTTGTTCACTCAAAGTGACTTGAACTTAGGACCGGGAAATCTTGTTGGCTAGCCCCTCGACGCGTCTAGATTAATGGGGACGCGTTGAGCAGGGGCGCCAAGTCCACAAGTACCTGCCCCTGTCAACCCCGATTTGCAGCAGGCCCCGGCCACTGCAAGTCCATCGACACAGGTGTGTCCAGCGCGCGTCGTCAATTTACTTGCCAACCAAAAAGTTGCGCGCGGTCAACCTCCCCAACAACACCTCACCCCAAGATAAACACGGCCACGATCTGGTCCACGACGTCCCTTCATTCTCACCCGAGTCACTCGTGCTGAAGACCCAGACCGGGATGCTCCATCTCGAATTTTAATCAAATTTCTCGAACCGGACCATTTCACAACTACACATTCGCAATGGCACCGCCGCGACAGAGTAACGTCCGTCGTCGCGAGACCTCCACAGGCGATTTCCATGAGCTTGGTGTGAAAGGACGGTGCGTCGCGCACTCCTTCTCTCGGACTGGCGTGGATCGCAAGCTCGAATTTGTATATGGACTTGTTAAACTGACATCCCAACAGCAAGACTGGCATTGAATTGCCCGACACGGGCGTACGCGACGAACATGGCATGCAACCCATCGACGGCCTTTTCTCCTCACCGGAGAAGGACAATGGATCCGCCAGCGACGATGGAGAACAGGACATGGAGCTGGAGTCGGGTAAGCCCTACTGAGATCGTGCAACATCGCTCGCTTTCTGACGAAGCTCCGTATTAGAATCCGGCCCCGGGCCTTCCACCATTATGAAGAACCACCCTCGGCTCGTTCCCCGAGGGACCTCCCCGCGCAAGACAAACCTCGGATCACCTGCGATGCGCCACCCGAGCTTCGGCCCTTCCTCGTCACCGACACGGCTGTCACCCCAGCGGAGATCATCGTCGCCGATAGAACCTCAGCCAACCCGTGGAGCTCCAGTTTCACGCAAACTTGACTACGGCGCCCTGGAGAAAAACGGACCCGGGTTGAACGGTAAACGTCCCAACGGATTCAAGGGTGGACGCGCAGTCTCTTCCGAAGACGAAGAAGAAGAGGAGGCTGTGCTACAGGCGCAAAATGGCCATGTCGAAAACGGGGAGGAGGAGTCGATGCAAATGGTCAGCATGGACGACGGTCAAGTGCCAGAACCCGAATCTGAGCCAGCAGCATCGGAAACAGAGGAAATTTCAGAAGCGGAGGCTCCGAAGCAGCCTACCAAGCGCAAAGGCCGTCCACCAAAGGCGAAGCCAGCTATCCAGGAAGAGGCAGAGGAACAGTCAAACCGTGAGTCCGAACCAGAAGAAGCGCCCGTTAAGAGGAGAGGCAGGCCAGCCAAGGGCAAGGGCAAGGAGAAGATCCAGTCAGACGAACCTGAGCCTGAGGCGGAAGAGGTCAGCGTGCCCAAACGACGACGCTCGCGTAATTCCGACGGAGACAAGGCGGAGCAAGAAGAGGAAGACGATCGCGCATCCAAACGACAGCGAAAAGAACCAAAAAAGGCAACGGGCGGAGCAAGGGGGCGGCCGAAAGCTGCGCCCCAGGAGGAAGAGGGGGAATCATCGAAGCAGA